ATAACAATGGACATACAGATACATTTTAATATATTTTTTTAGAGCCGAACATGATCAATGCTGTGTGGCAGAGTTATGCACTCTACTGAGTGGCTCTCTAGTTTAGAGCATTGTTTTTAGTTTCTGAAAAACTGTCCATAAATATTAAAGCTGCTATGGAAACAATTTTATGCTATTTCAGTCTGTGGTTATTGACTGTCTTTTGGTTCACTTTTATTAGAGTAAGCAGACTTTACAAGGATAAAAATATTTTAAAAGAAAACTTCAAATACATTGAAATAAGTACTCTTCATTTTTTACTACCAAATTATGATTCATTAGGAAATAAAGAATATTTTTGTAAAATTATATTTTAATAAAAATGTGATTTAAATGTTTATGATTATCCTTCATTACCTAAAAGTTTTAACTGACTTTTTGATTTCTTATCAATTTAATACAATTTTTAGTTACTAAGAGAAAAATTCTATCTAATACTTCAGTTGGTTTAGAAATAATGGTACATTTGTATTTTCAGTGGTCATGAAAAGTACTTTAGATTATCTTAACTTTATTTAAGTATTATCAACTTTCAAGGATATCTATTTTGTGCACATTATTAGAATTTTGAACATTTTTTTTTAAATGGAGACAACTCCCTTCAAGTATTAGTGTAATGTCTTACTATTTATGCAAACCATTTTAACAACTAGATATTGGTTATGTAAATGTAGTTCAATGGTGCTGAATGAGTTAAGTTCTTGCAATATTCTGTTTTTCCAGAGATAAATATTCCAAAAATGTATGCTTATTTTTTTTTGCTGTGATAAAAGATGAAATGTGCAGTTTGTATGTTACAACAGAATATAAATAATAAAAAAGAGAAGGGCATATGTTGTTTTAACATCATTTTTCATAATGCAAGCTTCCCCAAGACTTGTCAAAGTATAGAACAGTTTACAGTAACATACTAAAATGTCAAAATTATAGGACATAGGATTACTGTACTTGCACACTAAAAATAGTAGACTAAACCTTACCCGAAATATTTATGTGTATATTATCTTACTATTGGCAGGCTGTAATCACATACAGAGGTATGGCCAGGTATATCATTCTAAAATAAATTATTGTTTCATTATGTTAAACACTGTGAAGCAACTACAACTATCTATCCTTTACATTTCTTGATAAAAGTTAGCACAAAGGGTCACATATAAAGTGTAATAAACTTAAAATAAGACCCAAAACTTGAGCACTTTCAAATAGTTGGCTATTTGTTCTCCTGAAGAAGAATAGTCAACTATTCGAAAGCGCTCGAGTTTTGGGTCTTATTTTAAGTTTATCCTTTACATTTGGTATTACACCATACAAATTCAATGTGATATGTTTTTAACACTATATACACAATGGTGAAAAATTACAAAAATCAACTAAAAGGCATATAGAGTATATTACATCTCAAGTCTCTAGCAAATACTTGAATTTTAAAGAGGGTTACAGGATTGCCTGAAACTTGCTCACAATATCAGAAACAAGTTGATCTATCTCAGTAAACGTTAAAAGTTATCTAGAATAATAAAAACATTTCAAAATTAATTACTCTCAGGCTTATGTTCTTGTCAAAATCCCTCACACTTAAATCATTTTTTATATAATCCTGAAATTATAAATACTGGAAGCAGTAATGTTTAACCTTAAAGAGTCTCTAGCTTAAAAGCTGAATCCAAAACAGCTATGCAGGAAGTCACTTCTTTTTTTAATACTGATAACTTTATACATTTAGTAAGATTTTGTCACATAAAAAATGTTTTCAGCTGCGAGTCCTCTACCCATAATCATGTGTCCTAGAAACAGAAGTGATTATTATGACTCTACAGCCCTCTTTAAACATAAAATAAAGCATATTTCCTTACAGATTCACCATTGTGTTTAAGTAGTTTAATTGTTTTATCCTATAAAGTTTTTTGTTTATATTTTTTTTTCTTTTGGGTCCTTCTGTTAATTTATCTAAAAGCCTTCTCTTATGAGCTTCTTTTTCCTTGTTTTCTGACATTCTTCCAGACTTTTTCTGTCTTGATGCTGATAACTGAGATTGTCCAATCTCTATTTCTTCAAAATTTCTGTTTTTCATAGCTTTTACAATCTGATCAGCTGCTATGAGTGATTATCGCATGTTTCTTCTTTTTTTCTTAACCTTTTCTCCTAATCCAGAATAGACTCATTGCTAACATTAAATTTTTCCAGTTATTCTTGTGTCTGCCTTTAATGATCTTTGTTTTTTAACCATCCAGCTTTGCAATTTGATCTTGCTCTTTCTTTTTGCACTCCTAATAATGAGCAGATGCTCCCTAAATAGCTGTTTGCATTCCCTTGTGTATGCTTATTTGTTCAGTTCGTCCTCTTTTGGATCTGACGTATCTTTTGAGTGACAAGGTCCAATTATAGTTTCTAGTGCTAAACATGTTCTTTCTTGTTCTTATTTTCAGAGAGTGAATGCTCTACATCTGCATTGCCATGGCTGAAACATAAACAGGATTTGACTAGCTTTGGTATAACCTTGTATTTTGGCAGGTTTATTGTTGCTGATATAATGCCAAATACTCTATTCCAGTACACATCAATTTTTCTGTAGATCATCTTTTACACATTGCCATTTTTCTGGGATGTTCTCCATTTGTTAAAGCTTCCACTCATCTCTCACCAAAAGCCATCATCAGAGATAACATGTATCATTAACCTGAATACTGATTTCATAGCTGCAACTCCATCTCTCTCTTTTGCAGAAGTAGATGCAAGTAGGAAAAATTCTTTAGCAGATCATCCAATAGTGGGCTTTTTCAAGGGGATATTTTGTAACATACACATAAAGAACTTTCTTGCATTTAGCAGTGGCAAGTTCTGTCAATCAGGCTTCAACCTATTCAGAGTTTTTCTTGGAGATTCACTTATCTCTATATCTTTTGATGAAAGCTGATTGTTCAAGTCATTGTAATCTATTTTTGACAGACCACATCCTCTTCTCTCATCAACATTATCTGGTTTCAGGAATCTTAGGATAAGTTTCCAAAAAAATTAATTCAGCTCATACAGCAAGTGAATCAAGGATACTTCACTTTGGAACAGCTAAGGAAACACTTTAATTGCTGTTCCCTAGAATTATTACTTTCATTTCATACAGTGTATGCTCATCAACTTGCATATTCTATTATTTTTGAGTTGCTTTTCAGTTCTATCTTTCCTTTCTTACTCAGTAAGATCTGTCGTAAAGTACTTCTTGATGGAAGGCCTCTTACTGATGAAGGGCTCAGTGTAAGCCATCGACTAATAACATGTCTCAAAGAGAGTTTGGTAAATGTCAAACTCCAGTTCTACTCGTTGGAAGTCTTCTGCCCTACATGGTTGCTTCTTGAAAAAGAGGAATAACTCAATTGCTAATTCTTCAAATTGTGATCCATAGGTGTTTAAACCTGCTCTAAAGGCATTGTGGACAAGATGAATTCCGCATTGTATGAAAGGAATAATCAAACTTTCTAGTTAATCATTACTGACAATATGGTTCACATAGGAGATATTCATATCTATTTCACATACTAACTTCATATAAATTGGTTTACTATTTTATGCTAAACTACATTGACTGAACAAGTGAAATAGCAATCTTACTTACATCAAAGTTGAAGAGGTGTTCCGTTGTAAGTTGGATAACTTCCTCATTTTAGGATGTAGAGGTTAGTCACTACTAACACTAGATTCGTCCTGAAGAACTGAATGTTCAGCTCCAGACAGGAGTTTTTATATGATATTTTCTCTGTATTCTTACGAGTTTCCAAGTAGCATACTTAACTACCTGCAAGTAGTTCTGATACTTCATTGATTAATTTCTGCAACTCATTGGGAATTTCCAAAACAAGAACCAAAACTCTAAAGTAATTAGTTACTGTGATGGTGAGTGCTTTGATTGCCTTCTTACTTATACTACTACTCCAATCTGTAGTAATGAATCACACATCAAAGCACCAATTTTAGATGCTATCATAAACGTTTTAGTAGCCTTTACTGTTCTAGTGAACTTATCACTGTCAGACTTGTGACTAGCATTTTTCTTATCGTCTTTACTGAGGTGCTAAGCGTTAGTTCTATTTTTTGTAACTTTTTAACTTGTGATTCTCAACACTAACTAACTATGCTTTGCCTAGTTCTTGACCTAATTTCATAATACAGGTTTCCTTCTTATGCCATTCCTTCGTGTGTGTGTGTGTATTACACCCAGAAACCTAAAGTTCTTTAGTTTCTTTCTTAAACACTAAAACATACTGAAGCAATTGTATGAAACTACTTAGTAATACTTAATTGATTCACCAATCCTTGAGTAGCTTTGTGTGAAATTCAACAAACAAAAGCTTTAAGATATGATGTTGAAAGCATTTTCAAAATTAAAATCAATGTAATAAAATATTTGGAAGTTTTATCTATCACTGGGAAAACTTTTTTTACAAAATTTTGTATGTGTTATAATGTCTGAGAAACTGTGGTAAAAAACAAACACAGACAACCCCTTAGTAACAAAAATTGCCTGTCCATTGTTAATGTAAACTGGTATTGCTGACACTTATTTTCATAAAAAAAAGTACAGAAAATTAAAATGTGTGAAAACTTGCCATATATACAACTATTGTTACTCGTAGAAGACTTTGTCTGTATGAAATTGATATCTCACCACAGATAGTCCTCAATCCATTCCTGCATAAACCAGTATAACACTACTAAAATGCATGGTTATATTTAATATTTGAGTTAGGCTTAATAACTCTCTACTTTTAACAAAATAAGTCTCCTAAAATGTTTGAAAAGTATGTAGATAATGTATTGAGAGAGAAAGAAAGAAAAATAAACTGAAGAAAGTATGATGAGACAGCAGTGAATTATGTTGAAGGAATTGGCACATTATTCACAACCAGTTTATAAAAACATTTATTATTGGAATATGAAAAGTAGCAACACAACAGTTAATGTTGAGATCCATATTTACAGAAATTCATTTTGTGAATTCCTGCCACATGTAGGTGTAGAAAAAAAAAGAGAGAAAAAAACAAGGTAATATTTCCTGAAATATGTCCAACAATTATCAATATGTGTTGGAATCAAAAGGGCATTTAACTGTGCAGATTTTGCATAGTAACAAAATAATAAAAACAAAACTTTTAAAGTTGTGTAGAGCAACTAGATAACAAAACACTTGAAAAGTAGATGATCTTTGATGCTCTGCACACATTGAAACAACACATTAAAAACGTAAACAAAATTCTTAATACACACAGGGTAAGACTGCCCTAATAACTTTGAATAGTCTTAGTTACAATTTTAAAATAATACAGAATTATCACATACAGTTGTATGCTACAACATATATCTTTACAAACTAGTAACTGTATATATTGTAGATATATATATCTTCTAGAGGTAGATATGGATGTGTACTTGATGAAAGCTCATATGACCAATTAATTAATGGATGTAGATGATGAAGCTTCTGTGAGTTCAGAGAGATTGGTTTCTAGAGATTGCATTACAGATGGAGGGGAGGAGAATTCTGTACCAGTTGACTCTTCACTGCTACTGCTGGTACTGGAAGAAAACGTGTAGTAGCTGGTTAAAGAGCACAGGAACATTGAACATCTTTACATTAGAACATAATTGGAACAGAGATAAGTCGGTACCTACATATATACACATACATCATAATGTCATACAAACATAAGTATTGCTAAGGGCTAAAATCAAGTGACAGATATTTTGAGAACCTGAGTGTTTTCTCATATTTTAAATAATAACTTGTGAGAAACCTGTTTTTCTCTTATTTAATAATCTGCCACCACAAATCACCGAGATATGAAAAAATACATAAACTGTAATACCTACTGAAACTAATAAAATACTTGAATGGCATTTCAACATGTGCTAGTTCATCAAATCAAAGATTAGTATCCAAAATCGAATTATACAGAGGCTGTAGCTTGCATGTGTGGTGGGGAGTTGGTTACCAAGAATAGAATATCAAACAAAACAACAATGGATATAACAAATTGTACATAACAAGGAAGAAGCACTATTAAAAAATAAAATACTAGCCGACATAAAAAAATTATATTCCAGCCATTTTTTTTAGTTATATACATATCCAATGCATTTCTTTTTATGGATATTGCTATTGGTAAAACAGTTTATGTCTAGAAAACCTGAGATTTAGGATTTCTGCAAACTGTAAAAATCCGACAGGTTAAACCAAAAGATAATCTATTACCATTAAAACAGTGCATCTACACACAAACCAAAGTACTGAAGTACCAAAGAGATAGGTTTGATAATGCCAACACACATATCCACACACTATGTTATGTACAGAATATAAACATAAAGATAACTCATCAGAAGATGTTACAGAAAACAACTTATTTACAAATGTTATAAAAAGTAATAACTTTCTCACTCGCTAAGGTTGCTCTCCAGTGTAGCTGTAATATCTTGTTCACAGACAGCAGCAAGCTTTCCCTGGATACTCAGTATTTCCATTTGGTTGTCATGGAACGAACTAATGTACACAGAACCTATGAACATACCAGGACCTAAGTAGTGAGGACTGGCCACTTCAAAAAGGGTGCGAGCTCCCCTGATTTCAATAGAGAATTTCAAAAAAAGCATAGTTATAATATAACTCTTGATATGCTAAAAAGAGTTGTTCAAATGATGACACTCTTGAATGTCATTCTAAAAAACTTAGGATACTTTCAATATATCATCTTTAACTTTGAAAGTTTATAGAGAAGTGTCACTTATTTATTTCTTTTAATGGTGCAGTCATTAATATTTCCATCCCACTGGTTGATTTAATTGCATTATGTTTGACATATATTTCTTTTTTTTTTAGAAAGAAAAACTCCATTGTTACAGCAACATTTGCACTTAGGACATTTAAATTTAGTGTTATTTTTGTGTTTTACAGCTTTCCTGTGCAAGTTTAATGCACTTTAACCCGTATCGGAAATGACTATCAGGGCTCAGTGTTGGACATTTGTTTTTTTATTTACATCAACCACATAGATGAAGGAATGGTAAATAGATTATTCAAATTTGCTGATGATATTAAAGTTTGGGTGTTTTTTACTGTGAGGAGGATGCTACTGCTTTATAAAAGGATTTGGAAAGTTAGATGAATAAATGGCAGATGACTACTAATTATAATAAAATGACAAAATGCATGTGAGCTACTATATTTTGAAGTATGAGTATAATTTTGATGAGAATAACCTTAACAGTGTTATGGAAGAAAAGGATCTTGCCAATCTGGTTAATCAGTCTTAAGACATCGAAGGAAGATGCTGCTGCTAGTGGTAGAACAAATGGGATTTTAGGTTGTATCTACAGAAATATTGAAAACAAGTCTAAATAGGTTATAAAGTCATTGTATATGTCACTGCTTAGGCCACATTTGGAGTATTGTGTTCAGTTTTGGGCTCCTTACCCTAGAAAGAACACTGAATTGTTGGAAAGGGTTCAGAGGAGGGTTGTCATATAAGGATAGCTTAAGACTTCTGAACTTGTTTTCTCTTGAAAAAAGAAGTTAGAGGGGATCTGATTAAGGTATTTAAGATTGTTAAGGGAACTGATGGTTTGGATACATCATACTTTTTCATATTTAATGGTGGGACACAAGTATAAATTTTGGCAGGGTTGAAGTCATCTTCAGCAAGGGCAGCTTTATTTTTCTAACAGGGTGGTTGGCCTTTGGAATGGGTTGCCTTCAGATGTGGAGGCAGTAAATTTAAGGGAGTTTAAAGAAAAGCTTGATAAATATTTGAATGATAGGGTTGGCCTTGAGTTTTTTAGTGTTTAGTTTAACTTAGTGGATAGGATAGCTTAGACGAACCAAAAGGTTCCTTGTTGTTCTATAATGTTATGTTTTCACAAACCTTATACAAAGCCTTTGAACCATGACCTATTAATGCTTTAATCCAAATTGTATACTTTGGATCATGTTCCCATTTTATATAATAAACACAATAACCCTTGCACATATAAAATTTCAGCCAACTGCCCAGAATGAAGGGAAATAACTTGCATAGACTGCATTGTGTGAATAGCATGTGTTTTGTTAAATACTATTTGTTTATTCAAAATTTATGAAAATTAGTCATGGTAAACATATATATGTACATATATATATATATACATAGATATGAGAAGTTACAACTGTTTTCTGTTGTGTATCAATGCAAGGGATGACAGGGCTGCAGCCCCAGGGCACTAAATGTTTTGAGGCCATATAACCTTGAAAATAGTTGAAAAATATACATACAGGTAAATACATTAGCCCCTGGGCACCAAGTAGGCTTAATCTGACCACTATTCAAGGGCATTTTGGCAAATTTCAGAGCAAGATGTCAATAAGCAAGTACTTTTCTAGGTAAAAATTAAATTTACAGACTTTTTCATGCAACCCTTTGAATTCAAGTAGTTTTCAAGGTCTGTGTGAACACTTTGAATAACTTACTATCCAAACAGTTACAAGTTTAAAAGCTATATCCCAAACTGAATCATAAACATTTATCATAAAAACATCTTACTCCTTAGTACTCTGTTGGGGAATGATCTCCACAGCCTCTACAGAGTTAAAGTGAGTCACAAACAGGTATGGTGCTCGATATGCTACATAAGGAGACAAAGGAAAGTGTTTTTTCATCATCATTATAATATACTCTGCTTCAAAGTAAACTGGTATCACTGTCATCATTTTCAAAAGTTCATTGTTAGTTAGGCCAATAATCTATTTGAACCAATACAGAATGTAAGATGTTTTCAATTTGGAATCTTCAAGTAACATGCAGCTAACGTTTAGTCTTAATTATGTACAAAATCAGATTTGAACTTTTAGTTACAATCTCAATTTTATAACTTTCCAGAAAATATACATATAAATATCATAAGAAATTTCAATAGCTTTCAATAAAATACAATTTCCATATTTTTTTTTAGGTTATGTACAAATTTTAATAATTGTGCTGGAAAAGAAAATCAAATCTACATTTCTTCTGCCAACATTAATTAACAATCAAACAAAGGGCAATAGTATCACAGGTAACTGTTGAATAAAGGAATTGGGAAACAGTTCCCAATATTATAAAAAAAACAAGCCAAAGATGAGCATACTATATAAAGAAGAAAACTGTATGTTTTACTGAAACCATGTAAAAGCATTCTCGAAAAGTACAGTAAAAATTTATTCCCCTGGTAATTTAAGTCTATATAAACAAAAGCTTAGGCCAAGGATCTTTCCTTCACTAACATAGATAAGTATCAGAGAAAGAACTTTACAAAACACTGTTTAACAGATAGGGCTGGTATAGAAATGATTAAAGACTGTTTGAATTTGCTGTTTATCTTTCAACAGACTGATAATTTTATTTTTTTAAATAAGTTGTATGAAAAGGTTCATAGACTATAGTATTAATTTAAAAGCTTGTTACAGGACTGACAAGCTATATAACGTATGCAATCAATTTTCAAACATTCAAATGACACTAATTTATATACATTTACTTAAGGCATATTAGAATCTCTCATCCCATCCAGCTACCTTTTCAGTTCAATATTCAAGCAGTTCTTTCAGAACCATACAGTATAGGAGTATCATTCCACCTCTTACTAGAAGTTTGACATTCAGCTAGTTTTTACTTTACACATTAAAACTGGACACCATTAGAAGTCTACTTAACAGTTCTGAATACACTATTATAAAAGAGTTAATTTTCAATTAAAAAACTATAAGATCATGCATTTCACTCCAGTCTCTCTCATATTTTAAACAACTTTAAAAACAAAGTAATATTTACTCTATATACATTCCTATAGATCTTTGTATAACTGACAGTGAGGAAATGTACAGTTAACAACAAAGAAACCTAGAAAATATTAATAGCAACTTAAGAGACAGGAATAGACAAGATGCAGTGACTCAAAGAAAACAGCAAATTATCTGATACAGTTCATTAAATAAAAAAAACTTGAAGAACTTTAGTAAATAATCCTCTATGTTAATAACATATCATAATAAAGCTTTTATAAATTTAATGCTGTAAAAAACTCATAAGCTTTTACTGACCAAAGGCTAAGGGCAGCCTTGTCCATTTCATATCTCGTTCCCTAGTCCGCCTGCCATAACAGTCCACAAACACACCAAGTTCTGTAATTGCAAAGAGTTAGTGAAAATATCATGACGTGTAAAGCTTCAATATGGAATTCATCTCTATTCTTTAACTTTTTTTAGAAAGATGTTATTAAACATATTCAATGTACACTTTTTAAAACCCAATTTGCCCCCCAGTGGCACAGCGGTATGTTTGTGGACTTCCAACGCTAGAATCCGGGTTTCGATACCCATGGTGGGCAGAGCACAGATAGCCCATTGTGTAGCTTTGTGCTTAATTACAAACAAAACCCAATTTAGGGATATTATAACACAGATGATACAGCATAAACTAAAGTTAAACAAATGTTTCATGATAAAAAAAAATGATGGAAAATAAAACTGTTTCTCGTTTATTTATTTTCTAATGAAAAACAAAAAGACACTCAGAACTAATGAATGGAAAAAAAAAATGTGATTTTAACTTACAAATACTTCGTTTCCAATAACATAGTACACTGTTAACTGAATGACCAATTTATCCATGTGCAAATATTATTCTAGCACGAACTATAGGTGAACAACATCAAAGTTATTTTTGGAAAAAATCTATTAAGACATAAGACATACATCGAACAATAATATCAGTTACAAAATTAAAAAAGAAATTAGCACTTAATCTTACATAAGTTGATTTTTCTCACAGGACACATAACTTCAATGGTATAAATCATTTTCTGATTGGATTAAAACTTATTATCAAATGCACAGTAATCTTTATTATCTACAGCTGTTACCATGGAAACAGAGTAAATATTCATCTGAAGTAGCCTGAAAGATAGCTACTGGGAAGCTGCAGAGTTGTGAGGCTCCATAAACTAAGAAAGCCAGGCTTGAGTCCGAGACATCAAGAAATTCTGAATAAGAAAAGTTATAAATACTTAATACTATCATGCTAATTCAATATATAAAATTAATAAAAGTGTGGTTGGTACCTATTATTTATTCAATTTACTTGTTTTATATTGCAGTCAGAAATTTAGTTTCTAGTCCTACAACTCTAAACAATAACATAAATATTGTTTGGCTACTTTGATGTTGGTCGAGTAGCATCACCTACAGGATTAGATTCAGACTCTGAAACAGTATAATTTGAACATAAATATTATCTTTTTTTTTTACAACTTGAGGGAAACATTATTACAGTATTTGAACTAGAACATGCAAAAGCTTTTTAAATACATGATGTATTTTATTTCTAAGATAGATTTTTAAAATTATTTTTACTCATATTGTATTTACAGGAGTATGTATGTCATTTATAAAAATATATGCAATCTACTGTTTTTGATAAAATAAATTTAGAGATGTGACAAATAATTATAAAACAGAAAACAATAAAGAATTACATGATGTTAATATGGTTTGTGGAAATTATATAAATAATAAAAGAAATCTGGTATATAATTATCATGCACACCATGTTTGGTTTTTAAAACAAGATGTTAGTTAAGATCATCTCTGGCTTATTTAAAGGTTACACAGTTCTCTCATATCTAATATTTATCCTTGTAATTATAGGCCTATTTCAATTTTAACAACAGATTAAAGTTTTAAGTATCTTGTCTAATCTTGATTTAATACTTTTTCATTCTAAGTTAAAAGGTGTTTAAATATAATTTTAGTTCTAAACTAACTTTGATTAATGTTACTGATTATATTTTTCATAATGTACATGAAACTTGCCCAGATAAAATATTTGGTCATGAACACAATGTTCACACTGAATAAAGTCAGTTTCTGTCTCTAAATTATGACAAACAATGGACAAAAGAAAATTAAATGGTAATTGGAATTTATAAACGATAATAACATGTTGGCATTATCTATTTCAAAATGATTTTGTACTTTTACTAAATTTAATATGTATGTTTGTAGATATTATTTCTGTTTCTTTAATAATCAATATGAAGCAGAAAGAGTATAGTAGAAATACTATAATGATGATGTGTGGGAAGCCTACCTTCCACACTGTGATCTTTAAGGTCAACCTTGAAAAACTTGTCAGCTCCAAATATGACACTATTTCGAGTGAGGTGCATACAACTACAAGGTTCAGCAGTTATCACCTCCTACAAGTCAATTAAGCTATTAGTTTTTAGTTCTATCAAAACAGCAACATTGTGATACAAAACATTTCATATAAAAAAATAACATGCAAATGTTTGAATACCTGTGAATAAAATAGAGTACATCAATTATGATACATACTGATTACATGTTAAAAATTGGAATTTTCAACTAAAATAGGGCCTTATGCAATGAATGGGCTAAACATCTAGTTTAGAGACCCATAGGGTTCAGATACAGCCAACTATAATTTTTTACTACTGCCAGGAAGGAGGACAGTCAGTCAGGATGGAGGAAAGTTAACATTTTCCAACCCTGAAAACGTATTTTCAATAAATACTTACTTCTTCTCGCATAATAGCTTTCCTCAATTTCTGCTGCCCTCTATATGTGCAATTTTTTCCACCAGCATTGAGATTTCTACCTAAATTGATGTGTTTCCACACGGTATTGCCTCACTGTAGTATGCAAGTGAGCATGCAATAACCCCCCACCAATGGAAGTGCAACATACCCTTCTAGCACAGCTGACTCCCTCTATACTGAAGTGTACAATCATCACTTCAAGATTAGACATAAGGTGCACTGGACGTGGGGAGGACAGGTGGGAAGTGTGAGTGAGGTAAGTTTCTATCAGAAATATATTTTCATTGTTAGAAAATGTTAACTTCCAATACAATACTTTACCTCTTTTCACAAAATAGCTAGAATCCCACACTGAATTGGTGGAGGGACCAGTGCAAAAGTTACATATAAAAGCCCCTGAAGAGAATCCATGGAGCATGACACCTTATACTATGAAAATTTAAAGACATACTCACGGGAAACCACAATCCTTCTGTACTAGGGAATACTCTTTGTCCTCAGTGAAGAAATGTGCTGCCAAGTTTGGCAGAAAAGAAGTAAGCCCAGAATAACAGTATAGAAAATGGATGTGCTTTATGGTGTAGTGTGTCAGTCCAAAAGCAGGTGGCATCAGGTATGTTTCATCCATTCAATGGTAGGAAGAGGATCCCACCCATCTTGACGTCCATACCCAGAATCAGAATTGAAAAGGAACTTCCATTCTGCCATCCAAGGTAGTATCCATGTGTACTGACCCAGTACACATCTAACACCAGGCCACCCAGGAACCCAACATCTGGGCAATGGTAGGACAGGGGAAAACATACATGGTGTTACAACCTCAGTCCAAAACCAAGTGCCACTGGGAATTTTTCATCCCTTCCTTGGTTGAAAAAGGGTTCATACCATCTATACTAACAGGAGATCACTGTCCTACTCTCTCTGAGTGGAACTGATCACACTCATGAGGAAGTTTCCATGGTCCACCACCCCAGTGGCTAGGAACTGTTAAGTGGCAAGGACTCCCATATTCCACTAGAAAGGGGGGTGGAGGTGAAAGCAGGTTGGGAGCCCAGAGAAATGCAACACCTTAAATGCACAGTGCAATGGGTGACCACAAAACCCTATTTTTAAGAGCAGGCCAGTTCAGATTTATTCAACTAAGATCAGAGGGATGGGCAAAATTCCTGACACTGCTTTACTTGTGATAGTTCATGAGTTGGTATGGTCTGGATCAGGCTTTGTTTAGGAAGCAATACATCATGAGGAACCTCCAGTGGTCTTGTGGAATACCCCATCACATGAATGAGCATTTCATACCTAAATGGCTGCATGGTGCAGATTTAGGCTTAAGTATACCCTGGCAGGCACCACATGCCACTCAGCAGGATCCTGATATGTAGAAATGGGCCTCTTTAAAGGTATAGAAAAAATAATTTACCCATTCAGAACCGGTAAGAGGTATCGAAAATGGTAGTAAGTGGCAAATGATATCCTGACAAAGAGATGGCCAGGTGATGAAGGTAATGCATGATGAAAGTATGAGGGGTATTCCAAATGCCAGCTGAGCAGCCAGAGATAGGGAAAGGTAACAAATTTAGTGAAAGAAGTATCTGCCATATAGATGAGCTGTTGGACCCAACCTGTGAGAGTAATGGGAGAAAGATCTCAGCAGAAAATGAGTTTCAAGGGCTAAAGAGCCAGGTGCAAAAATCATGAAAAGTAGCAGTGTGGGCCATGTACCATGTAACAGCAAACTGCCCACATGGAATAAAGACGATGATCAGGATTGGAATGAAAAAAAAGGTGAACAACTGACGAAATGGAGATAGGGGCAAATGCACTGTTGCCTTCCTGTGTGTCAGGTGTCTTGGGGAGAAAAGCATGGTCTGGATAAAGCAGAATTTAGGAACAATTAAAAAGGATACAAGGAGTATCTATAACATATCGATGCCTGCAAGCAAAAATGAGTAAGATATAGGTCTTAAGTAAAAGATGGTACATAGAATAAGAGGTTAAAGTTCAAAGGGATGGAGGGTAAGGGCATGAAAAACAACATTTAGACCCCAACTTTAGAGAACAAAGAAAGCAAAAGGATTGAAAAAGACAGAAAGAATAGGTGAATAGAATACACAACAAAAATAGGAAAAAAAAAGTATATGACAGAGCCACCTTATAACCTGCAATGGTCGAAAGAGCCAAATCTCGGTTAAATAGCCAAGTGAAAAATACTGAAAGGTGAAGGACAAATGGCCAGGAAGGGGGAAAACCACGATGCAGAGACCAACTAAAGAAAATACACCATTTATATTGGTAAACAAGTATGGAGGAAGAACAAATGGAAAGAGAAAGAAAGAAGGCTACATGTGAAGTGAGTCTGGAGTACATCACTAAGGACTGGACAAAACCCACATGTGAATACTGCTGGATGAGTGAGAGAGCAATGTAGTTGAAGGAGGAGGGACTGTGAGAGCAGAAGAGAAGATGAAGACTGGAGAAGGAAATCATGGTTGAGCCAACCAATATGGAGCGATAAGAAGGACTTGAAGAGCAAATACTCAGAAGAGAAGATGAATAGAAGGGTAGGTATAAAGGTCTTGACTGAACTCATCCACAGCCAGAGCTGTATGATGCAGAACAGGAGAAGTTTGGCAATGAGGTGAGTGGCAAAGCATCCAGAAGAGGAGTGCCTAACTGGGAGCACAGCCACTTGAACACCTGAGAATCAAGGGACCACTCCATTGGAAGAATCTTGTCAGGTCGAGAAAGACAATTGGCAACAAGATTCAGGGAGCCTGGGATATGATAAGCAATATGACGAGTTTGTCATGATTTGGCTGAGAAAAGGAGGTCTAGAGTGTGAAAACAGAGATAGCAAGACTGGATGCCTCCTTGATGATTGATATAAGAGATAATGGTTGAATTCTTGGAATGGATCACAATGAGATGCTCTCAGACCATCATAAGGAAAAAATACAAAGCCCAATGTACTGCTAGCAGCTCTAAGAGATTGATACGAAGAGTCAAATTGACATCAGACCACTGGCCTGAAATCTCTTGAGAGTCCAAATATGCCCTCCTCCCTGTCAGGGATGCACCTATAAATAGATGAAGGTCTGGATGAAAAGGAGGAATAGGAACATCTGCTGAGGTCAACCTTGTTGAGCCATTAGGCAAAGTTTACCTGCAGGGAAGAAAGAAGGTACATGGTAGAATACAAGGGATCTTGAGTGAGGTTCCACTGATCGTGCATAGTCCATTGAAGACAATGCATATGTGCATGACCCCAAGGGATAAAGGATTCCATGGAAGAGCCCAAGTCTCCAAAAGAGAGAGAAAAGAGGTTATGGATTTTGAAACCAAGTTTTCCATGTCCCACAAACAAAAAAGAGAATGCTGGGCCCAGCTGGGTTGGGAATTGAAAAACCCACCTATATGAATAAGGTACTGAGAGGGTGTGAGATGCAACTTCTCTAGTTTGACCAGCCAACCCAATTGTGCTGACTTGTTGGGATGGAGCCAAAAGAAGCTAGTCATCCATGTAGAGTCCTAGGTCATAAATGTGATAAGCAAATGCTCTGACCTTCTAACAGAAAACATAAGGAGCTGATGCAAGGTCAAATGGGAGAGTGCAGAATTGAAACACCTATCCTCAATGAACGAACTGAAGGTAATGCCTGTACATAGGGGAAATAGGAATATGAGAGTAAGCATCTAAAACATTGACCTTGGTCATCCATAGATCTGGAGTGAAAGACCACTTGAGGGTGAGAGAGGACTCCAAAATGAAATGAGGGAGGTCAATGAAGTGAAAGATCAATAACAGGATGCCAACCCCTGTTTTCTTGGGAACGAGGAACAGATTGGAATTAAAACCTGGAGAAGTAAGAAATACTTGTTCAATAGCTTATATTTGCAAAAGATCCAAAACTGCCTCTGATAGATGCTGGCAACAAACTGGATCCCGAGGAGGAGGGAAAGAAATGGGAATAGGAGACAAAATGAAGAGCCCTCCCTCTGACAACAATCAAAGGACCCAAAAATTAGCCGTGAATGAGTGTCAAAGGTGAGCAAACTTGGTCAAATGTGCCCCCATTAAACCTTAGGGATAGTCACTGACAATTCTGACATCATGGAAGGTGCCGGTGAGTGTACCGACAGATAAAAGCAGAAATACAGGAAAGGAGAGGATTGCAAAAGCTGGAAAACCATAGAAGAAATGGAGGAGTGTTGGCGTGCAGCCTCCACATAAGATTCCAATGAATCAGGTACACTTCCAAAAACAGGCTGGCAAAAAAAAGGAACCAGACGAAGGTCTCTTAGATATGAAGCAGGCAAATGCACCTGAGAAAGGAGTATGCCCTTGCTCAAAGAGTCCCAACAACAAAGTAATTATGTCCATATCCAAGAAGGACAAGGTAGGTCAATAACAGTGGACTGAGATGGTGCAGTGAAAGTGTGTGTGTGTGGTGGGGGGGGGGGGGGGAAAGCTGTCAAATTAGTTGTCCTCTTGAATAGGTTCCTCATGGAAAGGAATATTAGTACCCGGGTCAAGAGATGTACCAGGCCAAATGCGTGAAAGTAAGGAGCCCAACACCACAGTAGTAATCTGTCTAGTAGAATCAAGATATTGTGGATCCACACAAGATAAAGTAGCAGTTACATGAACTTGCAATTTCTTAATATGGAAAGAAAACATAATCAAGAACTAAGTAAGGACAAAAGTAAATGTGTTGTCAAAAAGTGAAGCATCAATCACTGGAATAAGCAAAAAATTTACACGTCTGCACAGGTGATTGCCAAATCGAGAATTGATAGTTGTATGCTTCAGTATAGAGGAAGTCAGAGGCATTAGGAGGTTGTGTTGTACTCCTATTGGTGAAGGGTTGTCGCATGCTCATTTGCAAACTACAGAACAATAATACCACAAGGAAACATGTAAATTTATGTGGGGGCAGAGGTAAGGTATTGTATTGTGGAATACAAGTATACCGTATGTATTCTACCTTCGTATTTTAATATATATTTTTGGAATTAGTTAGTTGTTCTGGGCTTGTGCAATTTTTACAAACTGGTAAGGTATTGTATTGTGGAATACAAGTATACCGTATGTATTCTACCTTCGTATTTTAATATATATTTTTGGAATTAGTTAGTTGTTCTGGGCTTGTGCAATTTTTACATGACACATGGTCAAGAAAGTTGCTTTCTTTCTAGCTGCCTTTGTTTTTTGTCATTCTCTTGGTCTGTCGGAGGTATGGTTGTAAAGCCAATCTAATGTATGGGTGTTAAAATGTATATAGAATTTGACCAGTTAAACTATTTGTCCAGGAATCCAATGTTAAATTTAAATAAAGTGAGTTTGTGTCTATAAATTATGTCACACATTGTACTTAATTGAGAAAAAAGTAGGAGGTCAGGTAATTCCCTCAATGTTCTAAATTTTTATGTTTGAATGAGAATGACTAGTCATGCACTACTTGCTCAGGGTAAGTTTCCCAATTTATCTAAGTAATGTTAGGTTTAATCAGTCTGGTATGCAATCTTGACCAAGTCAGTGTGGTAGAAATCTTAATCAAGTACGGTTTGGAGAAAAAAACAGCTGAGTTCCAGTAAAAGTCACTGTCCAGCCTCCAAAGCAATCATACCACTATGCTTATGTTCTAAATAACAAAAATTGTTCACTGGGTTCATTCGCTTTATTCCCTTTTTACTAACTCAGTTTTAGAGAGATATTCAGAATTACTACATAATAAATACCATTTCCAAATATTTCCAGTTATTCTGTGGATCTATTTATCTAACTTATTACTCTCAGGGGGCAAATCAGTTTCATTTAAGAATACTACACCATTAGGTTTGGGTTTAGATTAAAAGTTGCTAGTCTCCTGAAATTCAACTATGAAGGTTTGTTCTTATTTTGTATCAAATGTAACTTTGGTTGTTAAAATCAGTTTTAAAAGAAATACTGATATCTGTTTTTAATTAAGTAAATTTCAAAAGTTTACATAATAAATAAGGAAAGTTAAACTAGTTTATCAAAAACCAGGTTTTTTGGAGGCTAAAAAAAATCTATAATAAAAAAATAGGTTTATTTGTAATATCTTTTTTACCAGAAAAGAGAAAAACAAATTAAGATATTAACAATCTGATACAAAATTATATTATTTCTGAGACGTTTTATGTTTCTCTTATTATCTATCAAAATTTGTTTCTTTCACCACTAACCTTCCATAAACAGAAAGTGTGTAGGTCAACATTCCATCTAAGTAGGAAAACTGTGGTGGACGCAGCAGCACAAAGTGACGTAGCATCTTCGGAGGTTCCAAAAAGATGACAGGCCTCAATATCAGATACTGGTTGGAGAGCAGTCATCTCTTCAGTAACTGTTATTTTATCTCCTTTGATCCATCGGTTAAGCGTTGGTAATTCCAACATCCTTAATGTTCTTTCTTCTCCTAAAAAAAAAGCAAATATAAATTCATGTTATTACTCTGATTAAAATTCATTCTACATTACTGATAGAAGGAAAAAAGATCAGAACAATCATATCAATATTATGTGATTTTGGCACTTATTATTTTGAGTAAGGAAAGTGAGATTGGAGGGGACTATAAAGTATGTCCATTTTCATTAACAAAATCACAGGTGTTATGAGCTCTTTGATTAATTCTGAAGCCTAAGATAAATAGGCTGAACTTTTAATTTAGTAGTTAGAATATTTTCAAGCTCAATGGCTAAATTCATGCTATATAACCAAATATAAAAAAAAACTGCCAAGTACACACACACACACACATATATATATATAAAATAATAAGTATGATTCATAAATTAGCAATAAAAAATATAATATACATGATCCTGTATTTAACAAAAACTTCTTGTATAACTACAGCTACCTCTTATATCTGGAAAATGTTTTATACTGATTAACTGTATAAATGCACATTGTCAACTGGGTGTTCTAACACTTCCTCTTATCATTATTATTATAGTAGTTTAAAACCTTTTTACCAAATAATAGGTTTGTTTAACTATTATTTTCTTATTATCTCTAGCTTAGTAAACTGTATTACCTGATATTAGAAGAACTGTGTTCAATGTCTTAAGGACAGATATTTGATACACACTAGGAATGTGATCAATTTTTTTCTGCAATGAGTAGCTTGGTTCGGCAAGCACATCAACAACATACAGCCCCTCCATGGCTCCCACGAGCAGCAGCTACAAAATATAAAGTTTACATTTAATTACATGATCCATGTTTTTGCATAATTACTGTAAATGAAAAATTTTACCATAGAGTTTTTTTTTATATTTTTTTTAACAAATAGATCATTCTTTGACAAACAATTAAACAATAAAATAAACATTTCAAAATTTTTTGCAAACTATTATGGATACAAAGCTGTATTAATATATAATCATAGCAAGAAAAATTACTTTGAAATTATTTTATTAGATATTTTGTATGTGTAAAGCATTATTTCCTTTGTATCTGCTACAGAAAATAATTAATTCAAATTTGTTGAATCTCAACGTTGCTCAGTATTTAACTTCCAATTTTTTGTCTAATAGATAATATTATAAAACTTCTGGTTGTTCTACATTTAATTCTTAAATTTCAAATTAGTCTGCACGTCATAATTTACTTTTATTTCTAGTAGTACTTATATAAAAATAACACAGTAAAGTAACTGTTTATTTCCTTCATGTATATAACATGTTGTATTTAAACTATTTAACTTATAAATCTAATACTACAAATTAGCCTGCATGTTATAATTTCCTTTTGTTTCCAGTTGTACTGATCTGAAAACAATACAGTAAAGTAACAATTTATTTACTCCATACATATATAATATGTTGTATTTAAACTATTTAACTTATAAACCTCATACTACAATTGGAGTTTCACACTACATTAAAACTGTGTTTTCTTTCACTCAATATACATTCACTCGAGTAACTAGTACAGTGACTAACAGAGCACTTATATTGGCTAATTTATTTATAAAATCATTCCCACACTGTACTTACATTATCATTCAAATGACAAGTGATGTTTATGTCCAGGATATTTTCACCCTCTAAATGTAAAATACTGTTTTCAAGTAGTTTCTAAAAACACAGTAAACAGAACTTTGAAACATCAGTATATATGACATATAAATTTATTTTCCCAACACTGCATATTACTTATGAGATTTCAAGCGCTTTTGTCTATTTATTTATTTAGTTATTTCATGAGGAATGTAAAATAAATATAAACATACAGCTTGGTGAAACAGTAATCTTTAGATCATATGTTCAGTTAGAACTTCACAACCAATAAGGCTGACCCTTAGTGAATTTTTTACTGAAGAAACCCTAGAAGGTGGAAGAACAAACTACAATCACAATTAGCCTTTCACATTGCATAGGGTCCTCAGTGAATTTTATTGCTAAATTAAAACTTCAGAAATGAAAACAAAGTGTTTTTAAAGTTAGAATTTCACAACCCACAGGGTCCTCAGTGGATTTTACTTGCCAAATGAAGAATCCCCAGGAATGAAAAAAAAAAAAAAAAGAAACTTTCAAAGAATCTCACAACCCATAGGATACTCAGTGGATTTTACTTTTCAAATGGAAAATCCCCAGTAACAAAAAAAACAAATTGTGATCAAAGATAGAATTTCACAACCCATAGGGTCTTCAGTGAATTTTACTTTCAAAGAGAGGAACCATGATAAGAAAAGGAATTAACATATTATGAATTATTTACTCAAACCAATTTAGAAATATTTGAATGAAAATGAAAACAATGTCTGAGCTACTCATTAAAATCTATTATGATAGGGGAAACACAGGAAAAAAAAGGAATTATATATTTAAGCAATATAAATTTTAACAGTTCAGATAAAAATATTAACTTGTACCCAAAACTCATGGAATTTCACAAATTTGTAGAATTTCATTTCATAATTTCTTTCCAATGTAACAGAGTGAAAACAGACATGAAAAGTTGAAAATTTTTAACAATCAACCATCGGTTATTTTTATGACCTACTGCTATATGTGCAGTACAGTTCTCTACCTATATATTGTGAAAGTCTGAATTACTGTTAAATTCTAACAATTGTTATTATATTTCTTTTTGTTTCAAACTCCCAGATTTCTTTATCTAAATATGAATTCACTATTAAAGTAAATTAAAACGTTTAATATATATCTAACATCTGAACTGTAGGAAGTATTAGTCCTGTATTGTATAAAATTGCTTACATCATCTTTAGTCATTTCATTTTTCTTCAACACAGATTCCATGGCAGAAACCCACATTTGCTTCTCAGAAAAACTTTGTACCATGATATACAAACACCTTTAATAAAAGAAGGAAAACACAAAACAGGTGTATACAATTTTTATCGTATTCCTCTTTTCACCTAATTTATTTCAATTCAAGTTTTTAAACTCATCAATATCCAAAACTTTTTGAATTAACAATAATTAATGATTTGGTAAAACTCAAAACAAAGGTGGCTGGAACCAAAACTCTTAAAAGGTAACTCTAAGCAAGCAGGATTAATTTCAATACCTTACTGTTCTATTCTTAGTATGTTTAATGGTATTATAAAGTAATTTGTCAATTTTGATGATATACATGATATATGAATTAGTTAACCTTTGTTTTGTTCTGCCATGTTCCAGAGTCAACCCTCCAGTGACAAATAAAAAGAGTTTTTAAACAGTAATTTAGAACAGTTAAAAATTCACAGTTTTTCTGGTATGGTTTAAGTTAAACTTAAAGATATGGAATATAAAACAGTTACAAAAAATTATTCATGGGGATATTTGGTACCTTGGAGGTCGAAAAGAAGTGTTGGGAAAATATTCAAGCTTCAGGATATAGTGTAGGTCTGTTTTAGCTGTTCCTATTAACTCTGTTGCTGAAACAGCACTTGTAACTAATACTTCTCCATCAATAGGACACAAGTCGATAGAGTCAGATGCTGAGGCATCTTGAACATTCTCCTTGTCAAAAAAGTAAAGTGTTGTATTCTCTAACCAAAGATAATGTTTCTCCCAACCTTGTTTACCATTTCTGTAAATGAAAACAGTGTGATTCTATTAATTTTTAATTTGTTTTTCTTCTTTTTTTGGATATTTAAAAATACTTGATTTACAATCATTTTTCATGCCCTATTTCTTAAAACTGTTGGACTGTCATTAAGTTTAGTTTATATTATTTAGAGCATTAAAAAAAACAAAAAACATTCATAATTGTTAAAATTTTAGAAACTGAAATGAAGTCATACTTTTATTACAATGAAATGAGACTCTAAAACATAGTGTCAAAAATGTGTAAAAATATTGTTTAATACAGTTTTAATTTTCCTAATTTTATGATTTGTATTTAAAGCAAAAGAAAAACCAGTTAACTTACCTTGAAATCTTAACCCAGCCCTGAATAGGATTTACAGTCTTTATAGAAATATCTTCAGCAAAAATAACCTTTGTAGATGGTTGATTCTGGGATTTGTTACCATTTTTATCTAAACTGTCAATAAAGTGCTGGATACATCCAAAAGGCAGAGTGCAAGTGCTAGGGAGGGATGTGGAACACTTAATATGACAAATCATCCCACATTCTGTCAAATTATAAGGAAAATGAATGAGCATTAGAAGTGAAACACATAGGAGAAAATCAAAACCTAAATTTTCATCTATAATTCTCTTCTAATTGTATCATTACATAAATTATTTGATTGTGAATAATTTATACATCAAAAAACCTAATTAATAACTGAAAAAATGATACATAATTTTAGTTTCATAAAATGAGTATGTGTGTGAAGCTCTCTTTCTGTTTAGTTGTCAAACTCTACAGATTAAATGATTTTTACTTATGAATAAATCAGTGAAGATGTTGTAATCTAATAAATAATAAAACAGATCTTGATTTTTCAAACCTCACATAACTAATAAAAATATAGAAAATCTGTCATTACCATAACACCTGCTTGCATTTCGACCAAAGTGAATGGAATCCAAACAAGCAGCACATTTAGTTCCTCTCATGGTCAAAATCTCTTGAAATTGATGAGGAACATTGTGAGACAAACACTGTCCCTGGGGTTTCTCAAAAACTGATGCAGACTCTTTGGTAATGAAAGTTGAGAGATTGTCAGTACTATTATTCATGTTAGAACCAGAAGAATGTGCCAATGTTGAGAGCACCGCATGTGACTTGGGTGATGTTGGGGTTCTTGAAAGAAGGTTAGTATTCTGGACTTCACCACAGTTCTTTGATATACGTACAACTAACAACAAAGATATTTTTTATTAAGTATTAAATATATTTTATTATGGTGCAAAATAATCACATACAAGGCTTAAAGATCACTGCAGTGAATAGCATTTTATCATATAGTGAAAAAAAAACATCAACTTTTTTGCACTGTCAAACTATCATTTTTCTGAACACTTAACAAAGAATTATTCTGGACACAAAATCTTTTATTAGGTCTGTCATGATATAAAAGACTGTTTCATTCAGATATTATTGATTAATTTAGTTTTGTGAGTGAATGCTTTATTATTGTTTTAATAAGTTAAAAGCAGATGATTGTAGGAAGTTTTGTTAATAATTAACTAATGTTGAGAATATCAAACTTCACGTGCAATATATTGACATTGAGAATATAGAAGGCAGACAGACGATTAGATAATAAAGATATAAATAGCATGAGACAAGCGGGAAGCAGCAGACAGACATAGGCAGACAAATAATAGCAAAAGAGAATAAAGTTGGTGTGAAGTTAACTACCATAGAAGTGATAGACTTAATGTTTAATATGTTAGAGTGAAACTAACAGTAGAAAAGAAGTTAAGGAAATAATTTTATTCTGTCAAAGCGTGGTTCTAAAGTAATTGAATCAGCCTGAGTACCCTTTGACAAAAGGAATAGAGGATCTTCAAAAGAAAGAAGACCAAACGATTACGGTAACCTGCGCCACAATTGTAAGTGAATCACAGAGAATACTAGTGCGATAGAAATAGAGAAGATAGATCGGCTTGTTAACTGAAATTATAAAGTAATTGAATAGGCCTAAGTGAATATTTGACAGGAAGGAGAGAACTACATTTATAGTATTTATGATATGTTCATAACATCTATAGTGTTGAAGAATTTATTGTACATATGTTAACTTGTTCTGAATATATATATTATTTTGAAAACAAGTGAAGTGCGTGCTGTTTATTCATCATTGAATTTATAGCTAACAAGTTACAGACAACTACTATAGAAGAATCCTAAGCCCAACAACAACAACATAGTATATATATTTATACTATTAAGAAATATAACTAAAAGCCTTTCTATCTGACAACTGGCAAAAAGAAAAGTTATATATATATATATATTATTTTATATTCTGATAAGGTCATATTTATCTCACTAACTATGATTATGATTACATGCTAGAGAAGTTTTTAGCACCAGCCAAACATAATCTATTCTCCCTTCAATTGTAAATTCCTGTCACAGCATGATTGCTGGTGCACAGTCTAGGTAGCATGCCACGGATGACACTGTCCCTGATTTCAAACTACCAAGCACAGTATAAAAACTATAGTTAGTTTACACATAATTCATTATAACTTGAACAATCTACTAATAAAGTTATGATACATTTTAACTCTTTCATGACGGTAAGTAAATATTATTAACAATCTAACTCACCTAATATTTCAATTTACATAAAAGATGATATTAGAGTTTGAAAATAGTTTTTCTTGCAAAAGAAGCCTTACTATCTGTTCTACAAGCCATCACTTCTGCTCGGGACTTTTCAAGCTGTTCTTGTAGCCGTCTACATTTTGATTTCTCTCTGTCATAAGCACCTTTAAATTCTCGCCAATATACAGGATTTGTTGATGACCCAACTTCTTTAAATCTTATGCCAAAGAAACACTATAAAGTTTATTCATAAATAATAAAAATTATGAAAAACCAGCAAAGGAACATAACATAATATAAAAACATCTCTAACACAAATCTCGTATCATATATATATATTGCAAACTATGGTGTCCATCCGAGCATTATTTTAATATAGAATTTAAAAAAAAAGTTTATTCTAGGTATGTGCAATTTTCATATAACATGGTCAAGAAAGTTATTAAATTATTTTTGCTCTAGGTACCTAATGTTCTGTGTCATTCCTTTGAGATATCACATAGTCTGCCCATGGAGAAAACAAGTATAAGATTGAACCTAGTGTATGAAAGTAGATAGCAGTTTTTTCCTGAGAATAAAGCATTATAGAATTTTTTTTTATAATGCCGTGCTCTTTCAGTTAACCCTCCTTGCTCAAACTGAAGTTTATTAAGTGAAGTTTTAAGTTCTTTTTGTTAGTAGTAATACTCCCATAAATTGAATAAATAAAATCAACTGGGCATTCATAAGAACTATCTAGTAAAAGTACTGTTTTTCATTCTGTGTACTTGCTTAACATTGATTGTGGTTTGTATTACTGAATAAAGATCATTTTCACTGTGTGTTTTACATTTGTATTTAATCTCTTTCTTTCTGAAACTCAGTCAAAGTAAAAAAATTCAGAATTACTCATAATAAATATCTTGGTCAAATCTCCCTTTATAATTATTCTGTAGACCTATCTTATTCAATCTTGGGGGGAAGCAGTTTTACTTGAGAATACCACACTCTTGTATTGATTTAGTTTAATGATTAATTACTTTCACATTTAATTATGAATATTTCTATTACAAGTCAGTAGAGCTTCATTAATATAACTTTTTTTCTTGGGGGGGATAACAATCTAAACAAAAGTAATTATATTTCACTAAAAATAAATGTACTAAATATTCATATTGTGTATGCACAATTATTTCAATGTATGGTTTATCATATTAAGTCTAAATGTAAAGACTGTGTAGTTCAGCATAATCGGTGAAAAAGTATTCAAATGTTGGAGCCAACCAACAAGATTTTTGTTCTTATGAATTGATTTTCATTTTATGTTATAGTTTTTAGCAATTATTATTTGTACTTTTATGTTTTTCAGTTTTTCACAGGCAAATACACATTTTACCATGTTTTTTTTTGCATTTATCGTTTGTTTGTAATTAAGCCCAAAGCTACACAATGGGTTATCTGTGCTCTGCTCACCACGGGTATTGAAACCCGGATTTTAGCATTGTAAGTCCGCAGACATACTGCTGTGCCACTGGGGGGCACACATTTATTGTCATTTGTGCTCCATTGACAATTATTCTAATTTTTGGGTTTCAATTACTTAGAAACTTAATTCAGACATTTCAGTAGTTTAAGTTTTTGCTTTTATTTTCTTCACAAAGAGGATTAAAGCTCAATTAACCTAATTTTGTAGGCTTTGTTTATACATACACATCATGAGGAAAGAGATTGAGGCCATCTAATGTTTTCAGTTACATTTGGCACTCGGATTTAAACAAAAAAATCTACTTTAAGTTGTCTCCCACACTGAAAAAGAGGTAAATTTCATTTGGATAAAATTCTCTTTCAATGATCTTGCACCCTGAAGAGAGTGTAATTTGTAATAAAATAACACTTAATCAGTAAGTAAATTCAAATTGGAACTATTAATAAAATTAGCAACTCTATTTCACATTTTATTCAATTGAAATTAGTAGAACATACCTTTTTCTTCTTTTCCAGACCCTCAACTTTGGTTTGAAGAAAATCAATGAGTTTCGTTTGTTGAGCAATTGTCTCTTGGAGTTTAACTTTTTCATGTGCATGAGAAACCTATTAAATTTGTCAAGAAAGTTTTTGTTTTAATATATATTTCAATATTTATGTTTCAAACACCATACACTTTGTTCCTCAGTCATTAGTTTGTTAATGAAATAAATACAGTACCTCAGTGGCTTCTTGAGTGTTGTACAGTTCTTCAATCTGTTCTTTAGACCTGTCACCTTTTTCAAGGGCTTTTTCCAAACTTTGGGTAAGCTTTAGATTTGATGTTTTTAATGAGGATAACTGGGTAATATGCTTGGCTGCCTGTTAGAGTATATAAAAAAGTGTAACTTTAATGCTTCAACAACAATAATAAATTATCAGGTCTCAAATTAAATTCAAATGAATAAAAATAATCATCACATAAAATTTTGTTGATGCTAGCAACAGAAATAGGGACTTACATTTTTGTACAACTACAGTACTATTTGACTTTAAATGGCAGAGTAATTATAGTTTTATGTAATTGACATTAAACTAATACTCATCTCAGTGATAAGTATTAAGCTTATAGCTCACATGTTTATGAAAATAAATATTTCAGATTCTGCATAACTTTCTAAGATGTTTAATCTATGTAAATATAATAGTACTGTCTGTTGTCTGTCCATGTAACTACTTCGCAGGTTGTGGATGGATCTTCACCCAAATTGGTTCAGTTTTGCGTTTTCGATTTTTATGGGTTTTGCTACTATTTTGCCCCCTGTTGATGTATCTTCACCAAATTTGGCACGAAAGTTTGTTAGATCCATGGGTAGATACATGCAAATTTGCAGTTTCACATTTTGAGTTTTGCAGTTTTTATGGGCATTTTTCCCAATTACATATAATAGAAACAACTTTTCATGTCCTGAGATAACCCTTTGATTAATCATGAATTTACATAACTTCCATCTAGCTAGTATTTTGATATTTCTTTACTACCTAGTTTTACCAGGGGATGGGTACTCCAGCTAATTATTTAATGTTACTTTAATACACAGTTTTACCAGGGGATGAGTACTCCAGCTAGTTATTTAATGTTTCTTTAAAACATAGTTTTACCAGGGGATGGGTACTCCAGCTAGTTATTTAATGTTTCTTTAATACACAGTTTTACCAGGGGATGGGTACTCCAGCTAATTATTTAATGTTACTTTAATACACAGTTTTACCAGGGGATGAGTACTCCAGCTAGTTATTTAATGTTTCTTTAAAACATAGTTTTACCAGGGGATGGGTACTCCAGCTAGTTATTTAATGTTTCTTTAATACATAGTTTTACCAGGGGATGGGTACTCCAGCTAGTTATTTAATGTTTCTTTAATACATAGTTTTACCAGGGGATGGGTACTCCAGCTAGTTATTTAATGTTTCTTTAATAGATAGTTTTACCAGGGTATGGGCTCTCCAATTAGTTATTTAATGTTTCTTCAATAACATATCAAATAGATAAACAACATTCTAATAAAGAAAAGAAGAGAAATATTTACAACTAAGGCATATCAAACCCTGTTCAATTTTCTCTCATACATAAATTTCACCTTTTTATTAGTTAGCAAACAATTCCAACACTAAATCTATCAAAATATAGTCACAATGATCTGTTTTTCAATTGCCTTTACCTTATACAAAAAACAAATACTCAATTACAGTTCAATGTATGTATATTCTTTATTCAAAATTAAATTAGAACAAGGAAATTTAAATTACCTTTTTACTCAATAACTTCATATTCAAATGATCAAATTAAGTCACGCAATATTAACATAAAAGTATCAATTTTGACTTGTATATGTAAATACACAATATAGATATAAACATGTACCATTTATGATTTGTAAATGCAAACATACAATATATAAACATATAGCATTTCTGACTTGTAGATATAAAATATACGAATCACACAGTCATGCACCACTCAGTATTTAGAGTGAATGTTACACGAACCATGTGTATTTAAACATTGGCAAAGAATGATAATGATGATATGAAATACATCAAGTCAAACAAGAAATACAAATAAGTTTTAATTATTAAACGTTGATGTGTTTGTACTGTTATGTCAGTCCAAAATATATTTCTTAGAAATTAACCCAAATTAAATCATTGTAGAGTCCAGTAAAATCAAACACTACTACACTGTATAAGCTATGTATCTAGTGTTTGTTAAAGGAAGTAGCTTTTCAAATATGTATTCAAAGAAACACCAAACTGATGTCATAGATAACTTTTTACCTGCAATAACACACTGCATATAATTACATGTACATAGAAGTACATCATGCTAATACAATAGTAAACATATATATATATATGTATGTGTGTGTTTTACTGTTGCAACATATATATAAAATGTTATGTTTCTCAGAACCTCTTCTTCATTTTCTGGATAAATACTAAACATGAAATTATCTTGTACACATATGATTGGATAAATACAAAAAAAATCAGAATTCTTTAAATTAAACAACCTTTGCAACAGGGACATTACTAAATCAAAAACAAAGTGCTCACATAATCAGCACATGGTGAATAATATGCTTATGTTCATGATGTTGCAGATAACTTTCTCAACATGGACCAACTACGTGAATTCTTTGTACTCGTTTAGTTTTTATAGATTTAATACTTCTAACTTTCAATATAGTGTGTATATCTTCACAAAAGTTGGCAGTCTTTCATCTACAAAAAATCATATTTTTTAGTGAAGTATTTTTAATAAAATAAAATAAAGATTTGTCCATAACTATATTGAGTATTTGTTTTGAATAGTCTGTGTGCAAAGTAATTTTCATGTTAAGATTAAAAATACTTTTCCTCATCTCAAAAATATCAAATTTCCTTTGTGTAATCCCTAACATCTTCTAAATGCATTTCAAACATTTGTTTTCAGTAAAACTTTATAGTATATCTGTTATTTTTTCTACCCTATCTCAAAATGGGATTGGTCAATTCAACCGACCTTCTAACCACGAAAAAAAAAAAAAATCAAAATAAACCTGAATTACCCATTTTTTCTTTCTAGAATAACTTCAAATTGTAACATGAAGCTACATTCATTTATCCTAAGTAGCTCTAAGTTTGTAACAGTATACATCTATTTATAATTACATTTCATTGTATTATTGCCATTTGAACTGTGTCTAATTACTATTTGCACCATTGTAAGTTGTAAATCACTCAGGGAATGTGCAGCTCACTTTACGCTAACAAATTACATTACCCATATGTGCCTCATGAAACATTTTTACTATAATATTATTATTATTTATTTTACCTAATCTAATATTGCCTTATAGAATTAAGAACTTAAATCTTGTATGCTATTAAAATATATATTATTAGCTAAGATTTTATGCTATTCTAATTGGTATAACATAAACAAAAAGTAGTTTAATGAAATTTTGAATGTAAGACACTAAAACCTTGTGTCATGCACAGTAAAGGATACCCGTGGCGATAGGGATAAACAGAGTAATTTGTATAATGAAAATGTTGCTTATGTAATGCTCCAACATGATTAATTTGATTTGATTTTTAATTGCTAAGTATAACATACTTCTTCTTTTACTTGAATGTTGTCTTCTTCCAAGCTGGTCACCTTCTGCAGCAGCTGTCTCAAGGACTGGCTCTGAGTGGCAAGTTGTCTTTCTAGCTGTAACAGCTGTTCAGTCAAATGGGTGTTGATCTTTTGTTGATATGTCAGTTTTTCTTGGACAGTGTTTAGCTTTTCCTCCTGGATTGCTTGGCTGATTTCACCTTCTTCCTCTAGATCTAACAGTTTATGTTCACTTTCCAGCCTAACCAACACCAGTTGAATACAAAGGCACGAGAAAAAACTCAAATTCATCAACTTTAGAAATAATCTTCTACGTATAGTGTTTTTCAAACTTATTGAAACTATTGAAACATTGCACTATGTTTTTTTTAAATCACAATTATATCATTTTTATTTCATCATTACTTTGTTAAAAATTACTTATCATAATGCTGTATCATCTTCATATGTCACATGCTCTTACATAGGTGCCACACAGTTAATAATTTCTACAGCCTAAAAAACTTTTTCACAGAAGATTTGCATGTGTGTACATTAAGCTTAATACTGAGAAAATGAGAGGTAATATAAAAACTGCACAAATAGAGTTATTTTAATTACAAATTACCAGCTTGATTCATAAGATGTGATTTCATGAGCTACATCTTGCATTCAGTGCATTAACATACCTAGCTTTTCTTTCCCTGGAAACTAGCAGCTCCATGTTCTTAACCTCTTCTTCAAAGCTCTGAATATCTTTCTTTATTGTAGCTCTGTTGAAACACAAAAGACAATTCTATAAAAATGATAACACACATTATATGCAAATTAAATTAATAGATGGACAAACTGTATAACAAGTTGAAATGGAACTTGTGATAGTTGACACCAAATATATTAATACAAATAACCTAAATACTTTATATTTACATCTATTTTAGAGTGGGCTAATACAAGTTTTATGAAGCTTACAGCTTATTTTAATGAACAACATAAACTTACTTTATTCAAACATAACAAAAAATACATTCAAAATTAGCTTAATTGCATTAACAACCTCAAATAAAACAAAAATTTGTTAAAGCTTCAGGACTGTTTCAGTTTGTTGGTGAGCTACCCATGCTGTGCCCACTGCAGGGATGGAACCATGAATTGTAACATTATAAGCCCTCAAACTTACCACTGAGCCACTGAATGACAAGAATTGTTTCAGATGACCCAAAATATTTCACTGTTGCTTAAAAAATAAATTAACCTTGTATTTATATGTTGGTGTTTTTAAAACTAATGACACTACAGAAAGTCTAATAGGTAATTACTATTATGTACATACTTATTGGCAAGTAGGTAAATTACTATGCAAAAATGAGCTGCATTTTTTCTTTTAGATTATTTTTCTCATTTTTTTCCTTAATAGTTAATCATTTTACTACAGATTACTTACAATAGTAAATACTGTTAATCATATTTCCCATGTTACATACAAATCAGTATTTTTGATAACTTCTGTAAAAAATAAAAGAAATTTTCGGAACTAAACAAAAGCGAAAATTATTATCAGATTTTATTTACAAATTATAATCTTAGATGCAAAACGTTTTTGTAATGTTATATCTATATCAATGAAAGATTATAGCATTCTTGAGTGGCAGTTTTGTTATTAATGTTAATAACAGCACTTAGTGTAACTAGCGTACACAGTAAACAACTCTTTTATACCAATATTGTGTAATAAAATTATATTGGAAAAACACAGACTTTTCTTTTTCAAGTTGTGCAATCTTTTCTTCTTGAGTGTCTGTTACAACATCATAGTCTTTAAGTTGATCTTCCAGACTGGTGCAGGTCAATTTTAACAAGGAAATGTTCTGTGAAACATTTAAAAACATCATATTACTAAGTGTATTAAAGTTTAGGCTCAAAGTTTTACATTCTTATTACTTTTTAACCGCAAAACTTTGAGCCAATTTTTAATATATGAAACGGAGAGCATTGACTGCTACTTGGCAAATCATATGAATGTCTTACAAATTTTAGCCTGAAATCATTTTCAAACCTTTTAGTGAAATAAGCAATTTAGCTATAGTGAAACTTGAAAACAATGTACAGCCACACAAAAGCAGCAGCCAGGGAACCTTAACTTTCTTATCTAGTATCCAGATTACCTGTTATATTTAATTTTATGTGCAAAGTAACAGTAACTGATTGAAAAAAATACAGCAGCATATTGGTAAATTCCTTTTATTTATTTAAAGTTGGCTTTGTCATCTGTAATTTATATTTGATTCATTATGTGCGAGATGTTTAATATTCAATACATATCAAACTACATGCAACACACGCTATGCTTTTAATATTAATATAAACAGGATTTTTCATTTTCTTTGTAATGAATTTAAACAAATATGGTATGTATAATTTTCAATCTACGGAAGTGCATTTATGTTCTTTAACCTTTTCCAGAAAAAATACCTATTTTTCTGGTGAACTGCTCATACATATTACTAAAGGTTAAATTATAATCTCATTCACTAGAAGCTTAGTTAATTACAAACTATGCAGGCATTAAAGGTCACCAAAACACTATGCTTTATATTAATTTCATTATCTATATCACAAATGAAATGCATCTATTGATTCTACACTTTATGAATTAAAAACATCAGGTAGCCTAAGTAAATACAATTGGTTTTGTTTATGCTCATATGTATATTTCTAGTTCCAAAACAATGCTCACATGCTATGATGTCACACTTGTGATAGTTGTTCAATCTTGTACAGTATCTGATAGCAAAGCACCAGTGTCATTTACAATAACTAAATTTAATACAAAGTTGTTGTTGTTTTTTACATTTTAAAATGCTTTACAGTATTATCAACTGACACAATGCTGATACCAAACTACCAAGACCTTAATATCATCAGCAAATTTAAGTAATTTATTGACCATTCCTCCATCTATGTCATTGATGTACATCAAAAAGAACAAAGGTCCTGAGACTGAGCCCTGGGGTACCCCACTTGTAATATTAATCCAGTTTGACTGAACTCCATTTACAACAACCCTCTGCTTTCTTCCATCCAGCCACTCTTCTATCCAATTAGCTATGTTAATGCTATTTTCAGAGGCTCAAATTTATGAAAAAAAATACAGCTTATACTTATGCAAAGATCATGTGCTGTTTAATTGAAACAGCTAATGAGCTTCTGCTATGACTTACTATTTTTGATAGATGAAAAAAAACTGATAGTATATGCTAGAGTAAGGCAATAAAACCATAAAATGAAACAGTTACAATTACCATAACCTTGAAACATGTAAAACATCACTGCTATTACAAACAAATTTACAATGATAGTTGTACTACTCATGCATAAAGCTTTGTTTGAAATTATTACACGTTAGCTTTTTGTGAAGCATAAGAAATAAATATGAGTTCCATATTTAAAATATTTAATACTGAAAATTAATATCATCCATATGTTACAGAGAAATAACATTTCACACCAATTGTTTTCACCTATATGCAGCTCACATTATATATCTACACATTCTTAGCTAATTACAACATCCTCTAAAATAGAAGGGGCCAAAGAGGACTGAAGGTTTAAAACTAAATGTTTTCATGTGGCAAGATCACAATACCAAGAAGAAATAATATTTTAATTCTCTAAGATTGTTTAAAAAAATTCTTTAAAACATAAAGTACTAGACATAATTAGAGGAACATATGAGTGATAAACATACAAAAGTCTCATACAATGAGTAATTGAAATTAAGTGGTAAATTTTTCATTAGTACATTATTATAGGAAATACAAAAACAATACGTATAAGTTGTACAATGCCCTAATAATTTTCATTTGCTTTAAACATAGCAGTACAGCTTGTTTTTGTGTTACCATAAGTTTATAAATATATGATTGTGAAATATTGTTCCAAGTGTTCTGTGTTATTCCCTACTATTCAACTAAGTTGTTTGGATACTGTTTGACGTTCTATTTCCATACAAGCCTATGCAGCCTTGCCTTGATACTATTCATATTGGGACTTTTTACAAACCAAGTCATGATTGTAAAATCTTGATCGACCTCTTTATTCTTCCAGGTATCATTTCAACACATTTGATGCACGATTTGTATTACTGTCTTATTGAAAGATGAATCCCTGCCCAACAAGTCTTGTTCTTGAGGGAATGACAGTGGTAGATAGAATCTGTTTGTACTGTCAGCTGTCAATATACGATCAATTTTCTGTAGATCTCCAACACCATGGCTAAAATGTGGCTCACACTTGTACTGGTCCTCCAACACGCTTCAGTATAGATGTTATAGTGATACAGTTCTACTCACTCCTATCAAGAAAATCTTATCACTGACTGTTGGAAAAAACAAAAACTTGAATTCATCTATTCACTGTTTAGTCTAATGCCCATTTCAACTTTTGGTTTGGTTGTTTCTCCTAAGTAGTGGTTTTTGAGTAGCTACACATTCATTGATACAATTTTGTGGATATAACATTTACACCTGTACTTACAACTATATCATTGGCAAGATTTCCACAGGATTGTTGTGTATCACATAAAGAGCATATCTTGAGTTACTCAATATTACTTTAAAAAGTTTGGGTTTTCTATCTTGACCATTTCTAGGATCGACAATACTAGCTTCACGTACCCTCTTTAGAGTTTCCATAATCCTCCTATTGAGACATATTTTTCCTCAATTTATTGCATTAAGTAGCCATCACCAGTTAGAGCTTTGATTTCTACATATCCACCAGGTGTTATTTCTGTCCAGAGAGCCAAGTATGTATTCACGATATTATCAGTGGGAATGATATGACTGCATGTAGTTTTATAGGAATGCTGTGTGGCACTGTCTCATTGAATAAATTACAACCAATCATAATGTAAACTATTAACACATGACCATACTCTGGTCCTTACAAGAATGGCAAAACAATCCCACAGTACTTGCATTTTATACCCATTTTATTCACCGTTTCCATAATTATTCCAAACGCTGTATATTAAGGAGTTATTACATTCCTGTATAAGATTTTATACTATCACAGTACTACAGTCATTTTAAATAACAGTATACATAGTCACTAAGTTTTTAAATTTGAAAATTGTGCTATCTAAAAACTTCATGTAAAATTGTACTTAATCTATAAAATTAAAAGTATAACTCAGCAGACTGAAAAACAAGTTCTGTTTTTGAAGTAGAATAATGAAAATTGAATCTCTCTTTGTGAATATGTATTATTTCTTAAAATAAAACCAAGGAGAAGAATTTATCAGTGGTTAAAAGCTAAAGTGCTAGTGTAGAAGAAAAACAAAACTAGCCTTATTACTTTGATAACTGAAGCCAGTCAGCTACATGTACATTGCATTTTACATTTCATGCAGTGTTTGAAATGTACCTTTAAGTATGCAATCTGAAGTTTGAAACTATTTTTAAATTTCGAAACATTAAAATATTGAGCTACTAATTCTACTGATAGTTCTATAAAAAGCAACCATTATTATAAAAAATATAATAATATTAGATCAAAAGTGTGTATATATATTAGTTTAAAAATAGACCACAGGCTTAATACATGCAATCACACTGCCCATTAAAATAATTTACACAGCTGAAAGAAGATTCCTGTTCCACAGGGTTTACCCAAAAAAATAAAATTGACTATAAGCAGTGTGAAAAGTCATTCACTATATTATAGGAAATGCTTTATAAAGAAAATCAACATTAATTTTTTGAGAATCTAGCTGAATTGAACTAGAGGTCTTCAAAATACTTAACATGAAAGCATATATTTTAAGTTACTAAAGTAGTAAGGTGGCAACTGACTTTAGGCCTCATGCATACATCCACAATAAAATATATATACATTCTACATACTACTGGACAGATACCAAAATTAGTATGCAACATACGAAGAAGTTAGGTCTTTTTTGCATACAAACATGCACTTACCACTTCTAGAGTTTTGATTTTCTTTTTCTCTTCCACAAGTTCTTGTTTAGTATCATTGCATTCTTTCACTGCCCGTTCCTTCTCACGTTCCTTGATATTAACTTCATCCTTCAATAGCTAAATTTGCAAAATGATGATGATGATTAGAATTCAAAACCAATATTTAAGTACACATTTTTTAGCATTTACAAAAAAGGCAATAACTTGCTCTTCAAACTAATAGAAAAAAATTTATTAAAAATTCTGCAGTTTTACTGATGAGTGATGGTTTAAAGATCATTCAGAGATGACACTAGCTTTGTATCTGAATGAATATTAATGCTTTTTTATCTAGTATACCTGTTGAAACATATTCAATATTCTATAAAATCAAAAAAATTAAGGCTTAAAGAGCTTAAATGGTTGAAGGAAGCTTAGTCTAGAATTTAAATTTAATTATTTTATGTATTGAGGTTTCAACTTTTGAGAAAGTAATGTTATCTGTACTCTAGCAATAAAAGTATAACTTGGATTTGGTGTAAAAAACAAAAGAAGACAAAAGCTTGTAAGAGTTGAATAATAGGAATGTGTACAAAATATAGCTTGTATATACCATTTAGTGCACAAAAAGTTATAATTTTTCTACACTGAAAATTAATTTATGACAGGTACTTACTTCTGCTCACATACATAGCTATTCTCCTTCAGTGCTGCTCTCTATTTGCAAAAAAATTTTTTGCATGCTACAAGCTTTTCACACATCCCTCTATTCACATGGTTTAACTGATTCTCATGTGCAAATTATTATGCAACAAACCTCCACCAATAGTAGTACCACACATTCACATGACTCATGTGACTCCTTCTATGCTATTCTACCTAACTATCACTTCGAGTTTAGGCAGAAATATAAGCACTGGTTGACAGTGGGAAGGAAGTAAGTACCTGTCAGAAATACATTTTCAGTGTAGGAAAATTATAACTTTCGATAAAGTACCTTATTTCCACTCACATACATAGCAAGAACTCCACACTGAACAGGTGGAGGGACCGGTGTGAGGGAGAAAGTAGAAGCATCCTTTGAAAGCATCCGAAGGGAACCCTAATGAGGGAACCCTCTAATAAGAGGATTATATGTGGGAGACTGTACCACTCACTGTATCAGGTAAATTCTTTGCCCAGACGTGGAAAAGGTGTGACAGATCCAGGTGGAAAATTGTGAGGAGCACATATCAATGGGAGAGAAAACAGTTGGACAGTGATCCTAACCACAATATGTAATGTCAATCTCCCTGATGAACAGAATGTGGGTAAAATAAGGGATGTGCCCCAAGGTGTAGAGAAGCTAGGGCACGATGGACCATACACGGCAAGTCAAAAGCATCCTAAACTCAACTGCCGAGAACCGACATCCATGTGAGGGTAGAACAAGAGCATACCGCCTGTAAGTCAACTACAACCCAAAGCTCAATCGCCAGGAACCAACATCCATGCGGGGTAGGAAAGAAGATCATACCATCTTCATCTCAAGTTGAGTCAACTGGAGAGAGAAATCCCACCACTGATCTGTGAACAGGGTACATGTGAGCAGAGTGAAATAACATACATATATGTCCCACTCAAATCAAACAGACCAGAACTACTTCAAATGTAGTAACACCCTTGGCATAAAGACACTGGGACAAATTAAGTGAGGGACCAGGGACACCCTGAACATGTGTGAGGACTCATGTTGATTGGTTCAGCTCTAAATCGATAACTCAACTGTTGAGAACTGACATCCACGAGGGGGTAGGATGAGGGATCCCAATCACACAACATGCACAAGGACATATGGTGATTAGTTCAGTTCTAAATCCAAATTTCAACTGCCTGGTAAGATAAGGGATCCCAATCATTACTGTATAATAAATAGTAAACTTAGGTAGAATAGCATAGAGGGAGTCACATGGGTGTGTGGCACTAATATTGGTGGAGGTTTGTTGCATGATAATTTGCATGCAAGAATCTATTAAACCATGTGAATTGAGAGGTGAGTAGAAGTGAAAAGCTTGTGGCATGCAAAACAAATTTGCAAATAGAGGGCAGCACTGAACAAGAATAGCTATGTATGTGAGTGGAAGTAAGGTACCTTGTCAGAAATAATAACATTTCTGAATAATTTTCTGTGTGTGAAAATAACATTTTATCTCATATCAGGTATAAAAAAACCTGTAGCACAATTATGAACTGCAATTACAAAAACTGTGCTCCTTGTCATTCTAGCTTTACTAGATTTATTTATGAAAATGTTCTCAGGCAATGGTGATTTGCTCTCTGTACTGATAACACTAATAAACAATAGTTGATCTCATGTTTCAGTTTGTTAGAGTAACTGATGATTTACTGTGTGGTGATTTTAAACCTAGTTCTGATTTGATGTTTTAATTTATTAAAATATCTGATGATATAATCTTCCTACTGATAAACATTAATTTGATATTTCAGTTTGCTGTTTCAATAAATGATAGTTTGTCCTTTATCCTAGTAAACACTTATAATGAATATACAGGTAATATCTAAATGTTTTTCAGTAACTGATTACTATGAGATTAAAATCACTGCTTGAACTGCAGCACAATCAGTATTGTTATGACTTTAAAAGCATACTGCTGTTAGGGTTATGGAAATCTAATTTCTACATTTCCTATGAGAAAAATTGAATGCAGGGCCTCTAACACACTAGAAGAGTGCTATACGGATGAAAGATTAACCTACTTGGTACTGTTAGCAAGGTACTTTTTTAAACACATCGGATACCATGATTAACAACTGAATTAATGAAGAGGAACTTCTAGTCGTTTTTTTATTTAAAACACATATCAACATTTAAAAGTAGCCTGTGGTATGTGTCTGTAAAAATTATGGAACTTCAAAGTTACACCATGCACAAGCAACAACATTCTCTTCGGTAGTAGGTTGAAAATCCTTGCAGAATTTTACCATATTAATTTTTAAGATATTTCTGCTTCAACTTAAAGTGATAATTGAAGGTGTCCAGTCAGATTTTAGCCTTAATATTAATCTTTAAATGCAGATCTACTCAAATAAATACATTTTGTTAAAAAACATAGTCCTACAAATTATCCCTCACATAGATTTGTAATATGTCCTTGCTCCTACCTATAGTATTTCTTTAGTTGTCTGTATGAGTTATGCAAATATTTGATTAAATAACAAAACTACAAAATGATGAAAAATCTCCTTAGTTATATGCTATCCCATGTGATTGTTTATTTCCAGTATGTATTAGATATGCATTGATCTAATTTCATCAATATCTTTATAATATACTAAAACTCTGAAAACCTGAACTGACACCATGCATATTCAAACTATGCTAATATATAGTAAGAAATCTCAGATTTGAAAAAAAATATACATAAGATTTTCGAAAAACGAACTTTAGTCTGTCCCATGTTTTTAAAAGACTATTAAAATGATTAGAAACTAATAAGCATAATTACTTTTTTTATAAGTGCCTTATGAGAAGTACACAAATATTTATATAAAATTACTGTCAGTTTCTTAATTCCAATATTTAATTTTCTAAATTAATATACACGTCTACTGTATATACCATGTAGTAACTACAGCTTTATTAATCTAAACTTAACTCTAAAGCATATAATAAAATGGTTTCTTGATTTAACTTAGTATAGGCTTAAGACCTTATTTAAGCTCTTATTTCTCATTATAGAAGATTATTATTCTTAGCACAAGCATTTCTGTTTTTTAATGAATTGAGATTTATACAATGTACAACAGAGGCATTTTTAACTCTTCAAACTACTTGGTGCAATTTTCTTAGGGGGCCCATCCATACTGATCAGGTACAGGTATAGAAATTTATGAGTTTTTGCATTATTTTGGGGACCCACAGTATGAGGGGCCTGTTGGTGCATTGCCCCAATGTTAATTTGCCAATGATGTATTATCAGACTTTACCTTTGGTACAGTGTAATGTCTCGATATTATACAGCAATTGACAATTAACATTAAGGCCCAATATGAGAGCTAGACGAAACTAATTCACAAAGTTTGTGAAAAACTCTATGATCATAATAATAACCATGATGATATATGAATTAAAAACAACCACACCAATATTGTTTTTAAGCATGCATATTCCTCAGATTTATTCATACACTGAAAACAAAAACCTATTTTTTTTATAAAGCCAAGATACTATTTAATGGTAACCATATGAATCATATTACATTAATAAAGGAATATCTCTATTATGTTATTAGACAAAAATATGGAAGTTTTAACGTAGTTTTTCCCCTAGCCAGCTAGACTGCTATGATTGGAAGTTAATATTAATTAAATATCCTGCATAAAATCATAGGTAACATGAAGAAACAAATTATGCAATAAAGTAAAGAAAGGTGCAAGTACATGAACCAAAAAACTTGAATAATCCAATTTTCATTCATAGCATTGCTTTATCTAAGGCATAACAAAATGAAGCAAGGACCAAGGGTCAACAGTTTTTTTTAAATTTAAAAACAAGGAGTGATGGTAGGAAATAGGTTGGTCTCAACTTAAGATCCAAGCAAGTTTTCATACAGAATAAAATCAGCATCATAAACAAATACATTCACGGAAAAGAACACAAGAAACATTCAATATTGAACTATTTCACAATTTTTCTGCCAAGCTTTGAGTCCCTCTTGCAGCTTGGCTTTCCAGTCTGCAGATAAGTTTGTGAAGTAACTGTTACAGTTGACAGAACTGAAGAGAAAAAAACAAAGACAATTGTATGTTTCACAAACACTTTATTTATTAACGACTGTGGTTTTGCCAGATGCAGTGAATCCATGGGCGTTAATAAATGAAGTTTTTGTGAAATGTAAAATTGTCTGTTTTTTTTCCCCCTCAATTCTGTATTATGAAGTTTCACCAATTACCGAAAGTTTCAAGTACCAAATATTGTCACAGTTGGACTAATCATAAAACTATTTTGTAATTCTACACCATTGTATTATTACAATTCCTAGATTATATGTGTTTTTATCAGCTTTTATGGTTAAGACTTTTTTTTAAGTTGGAGAACATTTTTGATGTGAACAGTAGTAAGAGTTCTTAATTTATGTGTGTGTGCATTTTTCAAATTAAACTTATACGTCATACAATGTTCTGGCCTATGCAGGTAAAATAACTTTTGTAAATTTCATTGTAGAACTTAGAAAATATACTCTCATAATGGCAATCCAAATTCTTACATGCAGTTAATCTTTCAAGTATAACTTATGAACCATCACCATTTAAAGTGGTAGAGACTCCATGAAGTTTTTTGTAGATTTCTCTTTTTCACACATGTGTATATACAACTAACATACAGTGAAAAATTTAATAATATTTCTACAATGTTGCAAATATTCTATGTTACAGGCTAAAAAACAAAACATCGAAATGCTAGTTTAAGATATTAACCACAAGTGAATGGACGGGGTAAAACTGAGCATGTAATGATTTTTTACAGAGTGCCATTCAACATGGTATTATTTATTTGATGTCAGAATTATCAACTACTAGCATATAGCCCATCAAAAATGATGGGGCAAGTACTACCACCCACATCCCCACCCCAGTGTACCCTAACTTCACAGTTCATAGCTAACTGAAAGAAAGAAATTTTGCAAAATCAAGTTTGACCAACAAAGAGACAGAAAAGTGCAATCGATGCAATCAAATGTTGGTAAATTCCTTTGTGAGCCAATCAAAATTAAGATTATTCATGAAATGAGTTCATGGCATATTCAAAGAATAATTATTGGTAAAAATTAGTTAGATTAATGACTTCTAACATAAAGAAAAGCCAGTGCATTTTGGTAACATTATGTTCCAACGATGACTTTTATTTCATGTTGCTTAGCAACAAAAGTATAACCTAATATTATTATTAGTATATGTACTGAAAGTATAAAATGAATTGTATAGGCAACAAAACAATATTTTTTTATTTCTTAATTTAGAATCTCCGATGATTAAAAGAGGTTTGTTTTTTATTAAGAATGTTGGTGATACAACAGAAAATAGTTTAATTCAGAAACGATTTAAGTTTAAAATTGAATCAATATTTTTACTTTCATGATAACATTTATGCAACTGGCTCAAGGCTAGGTGATCCCACACTGTATCTTTACTTTAGGGTTATTATACTAACACTCGCTACACTTATAAGGTTTCACGACACCACCACCCTCATGACCCCCTTGCACCCCTGTCACAAAAAGTTGTAATGTATTTTGGCTTTTATGACTCCTCCTATTTCGAGAAATCAAGCATAACATGACACACACTGACTTTTATATAGGTTAGATTCATTTTACCCTACATGGATGACTTAGTGACAGTTCATGACAGAGGAGAGTAAGTACCCAATACAATATACAGGAATACTGAAAAAAGTTTTAGATACAACTTGCAAACTATCCAATTGACAAAAGTATTTTTATTCTTCACATGTACACCACTGTGCACTCCAACTTGTCAGAGTTTGAGTCCCACTGACATCATCAATTCATAGACATATCTTGAGTACAAATACTTTTGTAACACATCTGATTTGTTGTGTACAACAGACTTGTATATTACTAAACGCTTGCCACTGTTCATGTATGTAGAGACACATAGTAAATTTAGAATTATAGCCAACAGTACTTCTCCAAATTGGGTCAGTTCATTGGACTAAAATTGACACTGTAGTAAAAAAGACAAGGCAGAATAAATTTTCAAAGCCAGGGATTTTATTTTTTATGTCTAACTTTTCGTAATTTTCCATGTCTTCCATTATTTGAGGATCCCATTTGGAAAGTTTATACACTATACACTTGATGTATATTTCATTCCATACAATGTAATTTATTTTAAGCAAATCTGTTTTATAAAATTAGATAAGATTTTAATGTGAATTGTAAACAACTAACCAAGAGTGATGATACATTTTATATGCAAAAATGTTTCACATGAACTACTCTAATATAAAAAATAATTTACTATATATATATATATAACAGGATAATATGATAAGGAAGAAATATATTTAGCAATCACTAACTTCATTTGCATTTTGATGTTCATCTAGAGTTTCCTGTTTATTTTGAAGGTTTGTTTCCAACTCAGTTATCTTTTCTTTATAAGATTTTCTCAGTTCCTCCCATTTGCTTTTCTCCTTCTCCAGAATGGTGGATTTTTCACAGAGTTGGTGATTACTGTCGTGCAGAGTGGACGCAATGCCTTCAGCCTGCTCTGCTTCGCATTGAGAGATTTGTATGGCCTTCTTTATTTCTGAGAGTTCATCCTCTTTCTGAAAGGCCATCTCTATTAGTCAGGTCACTCATAATAAATATTACTGAAATATATCACACAGCTTCATATACCACATCTAGCTGAAAGTAAAACTTAGTTTTTATGTGCACTACAAACTATCCCAGTTTTTCATAACATTTTCGGTAAAGCTAATTCAATTACATTACAATGCAACAATACAATCTATCCATCAATGTAATATACAACCAAGACACAAATAGTGATATACAAATTAAGTTTCAAAGAACATGAATATCTAAGCTTTTACATGGGTGTACGATATGTAATTAAAATATTATTAAAAAATTCCTACATTAATCAAAGGTTAAACACATCATACAGACATTAATTCATGAACCTAAACTGATTATCAACTAAGTAATATGAAAATTTCATGCATTATTACTAAATTCTCTTCACTACATTCTTCTGACCTTCAAGAAATGTATTAATCTATAAATATATTTCAAGAATACCTTGTCTCTCCTAAACAATATTGCATTATGTAGAGCTACTGTACGCTATGTCTATAACTGGCAATCTAATCTTTTTTTTTAAACTGCAAAGATATTTGTTTTATGGTATAGGTGTATTTTGTGTCTCACTGATTTTTGAATCCCAAAAATAACGGTTTTATTACAGCCTGTGTAAAATACTATTTGATTTTAAGTATTTACCTTTCATCATCTTTATCAATTCAACTGAAAATGTAAAGTTTAAAAATATATGTAAATTATGACACTGCATTTTAATGTTATATATGTACCTCAACTCAGTGTGTTGTTAAGAAATATAATGCCAACTTGAAGAAAGTTGGCAAAATTTATGAGACTCAGTGAATACATGAATTGCAGAAAATTTGGCATATTCTACCACCATTTGTAGTTGCTAAACCAAATTATACTAATCTGCATTTCTCCAGCAAACCTGATCCTATTTCCATAGAAGATTTCAAGGTTGCTTACTCTTTTTTTTAAATTTTATCTTTACCTAGCTATTTACCTCTTTCAGTTGTTCTCTCAGCTCTATCTGACAAGCTCTTTCTTTAACCACAGTTTCATGGAGTAGCTCCAATTGGGACGTCATCTGCTTTATCTTGGTAGTCAGGAAAGCATTTTCCTGCTTCAGGTCTGAAGAATTTGGTCTAGTCGATAAGAGAAAAAACAAAAAACATTTATATCTTTAATACTTATAACTAGAAGCCAATTTTGGTTATCCAGAATAACTGAAAATATAAATATCTAAAAGTGTACAGCATTAGTTTTCAATGTTTTATACCTGCAAGGATTTTGGGTTAGTGAAATATATTACTGTGTAATGTGTCCAACATGTCAATGTTTAACTTCTCAAGCAACATTCAATTACTACACATAAAACTCTGGATATATATATATATACATAGACAGACAGACATAGTTCTGACACAGAAGATATAACCTATCAATATATCACAGGGAAATATGATAAAGACATGACAGCAGAACAACCAATTCTTAATTTTAGATTTTTTTGGTAAACTGAGTTTATACTGATATAAATATTAACAAAATGAAAGATAAAGTTACTTAGGACATTCAACAGCCTGGCTTTGGGTTGATGGTGCAATCTTGTCAAAGTGATCCTTTTGAGATTCAAGCTTTTCTACACTTTCTTCGAGGCTTGTTACACTCTGTAATCACATACAGGAAAAAATATACAAGTGTTGATGATAATATATTTTTTGAAAATTTAAATAATTATTACAAAACGAAATTAGACTAATTTAACATACAGTGGGGTGAGGATTAAGCTGATGTAAGAGTGATTCTTTGATTTAAACAATTTCCTTTATGACTAATACTAATTTAAGGTCACAGGTCAGAATGAATCTCTAGAAAATTACCAAAATGTGCAATCACAAATCACATTCTCTTTGTAACTGACCAATCAGAAAAATAGCACCAAAACCCAGAAATATTTCTGATTAGGATGACCAGATTTCCAAACCAAAATTCTGGGACAAATTGGAAATAATTTAACTTTTATAAAATTTATTTTAAATTGATTGAACTATTTGTTCCACACTACTTCCAAATATATTAACAACGGCATTGGTTTTGAAATAATTTCAACTACTTTTGTTGGCAATAGACATATATTCTCTAGCTGCTATAGGTCTACTAAAGTACTACTAACTAAAAAACCTGAGTTTCTCACCACACACAAACAGAACTTTAATGAGAGCCTATTTATTACATTTGTAATTTGAAGTAACTGATAGTTTGATGTCTTTATCATAAAACAAGAACGTTTTATGCTTTCAAGAACTTTTCACGGGACACTGGGACAAACTACCAGAAAAAGGTAATTGTCACGGTAAAACTATGATGTCTAGTCACCCTATATCTAATCCATGTGATAGTCACAAGATATTCCCCCAAAATGCTCAAGAACACACTCCAACTATCCCATGAAGCAATAAATATATTCCTTAACTGGTCAAGTTACAAAAAATAACACTTTGGGTTGCAATTTATCACTTGACCTAAACGAGATTTAGAGATTTCCAAAACTAGAACTTAGAAAAATTTATGAATTCTAAAAGTAATAAATATATATCATGGGAGAGAAAATATATAGTATTTGCATACTACACAGAATGTAGATGCAGCTGTAGCCCTTAAAATTAACAGTCATACCTACAACAAAGCCATGGCATTTTATGAAGAATGTCAAGTAAAAAAGGCAAAAAAAAACACCATCTTATAAAATAAAGTTCTGAATTGTTTTTTCGTAATGTTTCCTGTAAATAACATTAATGATTCATAATTTATATCATTCTAATATAAAATTGCTCGTAAATAACAAATATTTAATGATACAATCACTTCACACTGCCTTCACTATAAACTCAACAAATACAGAACTTACCTTCTGCAACTTGATTACTATACTATTCAATTCATTCTCTTTCCTTTCCATATTTTGCAGATCTTTCTCTAGCTTGAACTTCATAGATTTGCTATACTGAAGTTCTTCCTCTAATTTCTAAGGATGATGAAAAAATCCAAGCCATATAACAGTTTTACCCATTTAATAGCAAGTTAACACATTTCAATTAAAATATATTTTGTCAAATACATCAGTGTATTTGAGAATAATATTTTCAAGAGTTGAGATGAAATAACTAACAGACACTGTAGTGCTATATCTTAAATAGATTCTGGTACCACTAGTGGCAGTTTTAGAAAATAAAGAAATTTTATTCTGAATTTCAAGTATTAGAACTTCACAAATAATTTTTTAACATTTCAGTGGAGAATTCAAGAGATGGTTAGACCCTCTTTTGTTAGTCTTGTTTCTGATCCCATGTGGTGGAAATCAAATGTAAAATGTAAACAAGTAACCTTTTAAATGAAGACATATATATATATATATAAAAGTTTTAGACAAGCAAAGTCTTCACTACACTTCAATCTGAATCTGTAATGAGTTTTATATTACAAAAAAAGAATAATAAAGAAATGACTGAAAAATGTCCAGCATGAGTTTAATACCTGAATTCTTTTATAAAACTTCTTTTCTTTGAATCTCCACTCTTTATTCTTTTTTTCATTTCCATTTTTGGCTGTTTTCAATTCATTCTCTAGTTGCTATATGTAAACAAAAATTGGAATTTCAAACATACACAGATATAAAAAACTGTTTAATACCAATAATTGCTCAGATTTCTTTCAAGTAAAGTTTCTGAAAAATCAAACAAAAAATTGGAGTACAAAGCTGTGCAATCTATATATGATGTGAAGAACAAATATATATGTACATATTGCTTTAATACAGATTCTTGAGTAGGTCACAAACATGTATAAGTAATCTTTCTTCACACTGTGCTTTATATCCCGGGAAGCTGGAAATTTAAAATTGAAGACTATCCTGTGAACTCACAAACAAGTCTAACCAACCACTTCAAGTCTACAAAAAGTCATCTAGTACATGTATTTAAATCAAACTTTTACTGCATAACCACATGTAGTTACATCAGTCACTGTTAAGTACTGAAGCTTTTGCTGAGTATGTACAGTTAAATTAATGACTGTAAAGTCATAAAGATTTTGTTAAGTATACAGTATATGTAGTTCAATCAGTCACTGTCAAGTTCTGAAGTATTTGCTTATCACGAGTAGTTAAGTCAATCACTGTCAAATCATAAAGCTTGTTTTAGGCATAAAGCATAACGTAGTTAAATCAAATCATCTTAATTAATTCAACCTTTCACTTACTGAAATCTGCAGCTCAAGTTTTGACTTTAAATTTTTCTCCTCCTCCAGCTCATTCTGTAACTTCTCCATCTCCTCTTCCCCTGGGTCCTAAATCCAACAGATATTTGTGGAATTAATTCTATAGGTTTTTATGATACAAGCTATAAACATTACCAGCAATAAAAATAATGAAGTAACATAAACAACATTAAGATCCAGTTGTCACAATTATTGGTACTTTTGATAAAGAGAAGTTATTCTAAACATCTTGCCTTTAATCATTGTTAAAGAAGGTGATGTGCTTAAAAAAAATATAATTATTATTTCTTTAATTTATTTGTACACTATAATGTGATTCGTAATTATAGTTTCTTTTCAGCAAAACAGAGTTGCAGAAATTAACAAGTGCAGCCATTTTAAAAATTTTATAATATAGAAAAAAGTTTAAAACAGAAAATTTATCTTTTCTTTATCATATTCTCTTTTAGCAGCTTGGTTAAGATTAATTTAAAGAAACATACCTGAACTGAAATTTTTATCATTATTTTGTAATTTATTTAAAACATTTATAATTATATTCCTCTCTTATTCAGTTACATTTTATCTTTCCTATATTATAGTTTTATTTGTGTGTCTAATACGTGTGATGCTTTAAAAGTTTTTGCCTAGTTGTCTGGAGGTTTTGAAAAAGTTATTCAAGGTAAAGTGACGACTTTGAGTTGTACCCTCATTTCCTTAAATGGCAAAATTAGCGTGTTATAATGAATATATCTATCTATTGTATTGTATGGCTTGTTTAAGAGAAATTGATAAGAGCTTTAATTCTGATGTCTTTGTTTTGTTTTTGAATTTCGAGCAAAGCTACACGAGGGCTATCTGTGCTAGCCGTCCCTAATTTAGCAGTGTAAGAGTAGAGGGAAGGCAGCTAGTCATCACCACCCACCACCAACTCTTCTACTCTTTTACCAACAAATAGTGGGATTGACTGTCACATAATAATGCCCCCAGGTTTGGTGCAATGGGGGATTCGAACCCGCAACCCTCAGATTGTGTGTAGAGCGCCCTAACCACCCAGGCCTATTCTGATGTCACACATTCAAACATAATTAAGTAACCTATGGAGAAAAAAAACAAGTCACAGTTATTCCTATAATCAAATTAAAAGTAATATAATTTTGAAAATTTTTTCATATCAAATCTACTTTTCTATTATGTTAATATACTCCAATTTTCTCTCAAGTTCTTTGGTTTATACATGCTTTGTTTCTTTACAATTTATTTTAGTTATACTCTGGAGTATAAAAACAAAATATTGATTTTAGTTAAAAGTGACATTCAGTTTAATACTTACCAAATTTGTGACTTCAGCTGTTAACACAACAGCAGCACCTTCTCCTTGACCCAGTTGCTGCATTAAACCCTCCTTTGTAGTCCAATCTGACTCTAAATGAACTATGACATTCTTCAGCCCCACAATCTGTTCCTGGGCTTCTGCTCTGGCCTTTCTTTCTAATTCTAACTTCTCCTGAAATCCTTCCAGTGTTTCTTGCACTGCAGCAAAGTCCTTTTCCAAGTCTTGTTTATTTGTATCAACCTGTGAGTTATTTTAGGAAAGACTTCCTAATAAATAAATAAGACACATGAACCCGATACTACATTAAAATATAAATCAGGTCTAGTGTAAGTAAGTCTACTTATAATCACAAGTGAAGTCTCAGTGTCTTGTGGTACATTTGAAGCCTAAAATATCATCAAATTTGAAACTTGCATATGCAAGTAATATACAGTTAAATAGTTCTAAAACTTATTCCACAATAATAAATAAACTACAAGGTAACTGTTATAATTAATTAAACTCAAACAAAACAAAATCTCTCACACCTACTTTAAATCAAATTTTAACAAGCTAGCATTCATAACCTCATTGACAGGATTAATTACAATGTTAGCTAGAGCTAGCATATTAAAATGTCCACCTGCAGTAGCCTAATTTTTCTAATTTTGACCTGCTTTTGTTTTACCCGCACACACACACACAAAAGCAAAAAAAAATAAGAGTAACACTTTAGTAATATGTTGTTCTAATAAAGATGAAGTATAATAAACATATAACATTTTCTTGCAAATTCTTATCAATCTACTCCATGGTTTTTCGAAACCATAAGCTTCATTTGGTTATTTCTAAGCACAAAGCTACACACTGATCTATCTGTGCTCTGTCTGCATTGGTTTTCAAAAACCCAAATTTTAGTGTCATAATGCTGCAGACTTACAACTAATCCACTGGTGAGTAGAAGGCATAAACATTACTTATTATAAAATATCTAAAACATTATGTTGTAAATAGAGACTGTTATTGATTTGAAAAAAAAAAAAAGGAATTAGGAGCAGTGAAATCTTACCATTTTTATCTGTTCCTTGAGTTGTCCTGTTTCTAACTGTATCTCTTTGATTTCAAGAATCTTCCCTTTCATTTCTTCCTGACAACAACACAATTTATCCTCTAGATTCCTGTTCTTATTTTTTTCCTCTTCCAGTGCTTTTCTGCATAGATTTAGATCAGAAATAATGAGTAACTTATGATACCTAAACTGTAATTTCCAGAACACAATGATTTTAACACAAATAGAAAATAATAAATAAACTACATATATATGTGCAATATATTTCTGTTAATCTCTTTAGATTATAAGTACAAAATAAGTAAAGTTAATGGTTTCCTACACTGAAAATGTATTTCCGATAGATACTCTCACAAATAGCTTTTGTTGACTTATATAGGTGCAACTTTATCCTCACCACTAGCCTTGATACTCCCATTTACCATGAGTATTCAGGTGAGATATCTGCATGCTATCATGCAAATGATCATGTAGCAACCCTCCACCAATAGGAGTGCAACACAATTCTTAGTGTAACTAGTGCCCTCTCTTCTGTGCAGCCTGTAATCACTTCGAGATTGGGCAATGCATACAAAATCTACACTAGAAGTGAGGAGGTCAGTGGGAAAGGTGAGAGGAGGTAAGTTTCTATCAGAAATAAATTTGCAGTGTTCCAATACGATATCTTACTTCTTCTCACAAATAGATAAAATCCCATATTAAGTTGACAATCCCCTTTAGAAAGCACCCAGAGAAAGACCATAGGGTGTGCAAATAAATGGAACACAACATACTCGTGAGAGACTGCACCACTTCTGAACCAAGTATTCTCTTTGCCCATGTGAAAATGTGTTACAATAACAATGGAATCAAAGTATTCCCCAGTAAATTAAATAAATGAAAATGTGAGGACTTGTGTGGCTGTTCCAGCTCCAACCATCACCATATCCACCAGGAACTGACGGAAGGAGGGTGACTCAGTCAGAGGGTTGTACTGCATGTTGGTGGAATGCATTGTCCATCACCTGGCAGCATCCAGATTTGTACATCAGGTCTGTGGTAGAATAAGCATCAATGCCATCTACACCAACAGAGCACCAGTGCCCTACTCTCAACTAAGTGGGAGTGAGCACACTCAGGAGGAAGACTCCATGGTCCACCACCCCAGTGGCTAGGTACTAGTATGTGAAAATGGCTCCCATACTTTATTAGAAGAAGGGGGGAGACAGCTTGTTGGAGAGTCTAAAGGTACACTGCAATGGAGACAGTGAAATGGGTCACTGCAACACCATATTTTGAAAAGCAGACTGATCCAGTGACCTACAACACATGGACCATCAAGGTGGACAGCAACCTCCTTCTACTTTAATCATGTTATTTCATGAGTGTACAATTCAAGGCAAACATCTTTATGAAGCAAAACACCACAAGGAATACCTACAACCAGTCTAGAAAGAGCACATGAAAGAGGGAAAGAGGGAGCAGAAGAGGAGACAAAACCACTAGCCAAAGCACTAGTGGAAACCACAACTGTGCCAACCAAAGAGGGGGCACCAATAAACTACGACATGGAGTGGTCTGGATGATGGAAAGGAACTGAGGAAGCAGATGGATATTGAACAGGAGACAAAAATTGAGTGAGCTTGGAATTGAGATGTGTGGCAAAGTGGGTCCAGTGATCACTCCATAGAGAGTGTCTTGTTGGAACAAGATAAGTGATCTGCAACTAGATTCAGGGCACCTGGAATATGACAAACCATCAAGTGAATATGATGGTAGACTCTATCAGAGTCCTCTTTCCATATCAATCTCTTGGATATGATGGCCATGAGACCAATGCAAGAAGGTCTAATGTCTGAAAACAGAGGTCTCTCAACTGAGTGCCCCCTTGCCTGGAGATGTAAGAGACCACAGTCAAGTTGTTGGAATGAACCATCACCGACTGGCCCTAAAAGGCTGGAAGGAAGTGAATCAAAACCTGACGAACTGCGAGGAGCTCCAAGATATTGATATAGAAAGAGGACTCTGATAGACTCCACCATCTGAGACCTCCTGAGCATCCAGAAAAGAGAAGTATCCATAAAGAGGTGATGTTCTGGATGAGGATAAAGAAGAGGAATATCCATAGTGGTGTGGTCTCGATCCAACCACCAGGTGAAGTTGGTCTGTAAGGAAAGCACAATGCCTGGTCTTCTTGGGAATAAAAACCTCGCATTTGATGCCATCCTTGTGAAGCAGGTCCTGAACTGTCTCCGAAAGACACTGGCTGGAAATGGAATCCTGAGGAGGAGGAAAGGAAACTGGATGCTAAGACAGTGGAGGATGAGAATTAAAATGGAGGACCAGATCCTCTGAGACAACCCTCAGAACCCAAGGGTCTGTGGCAAGGGACCTTCATATGTGGGCAAAGCAGAGAAACCTGGCTCCCACACTGAGACTGTTGGTTGCCCCTAGGACAGTGCCCCAAGAATCTACAATGAATCTCAGAAATACAAGAGACCAGAACCATTAAGAAAAAAGAAAGAGAAGGGCGAGATACAGAAACAGGTTCAGGAGGCAGTTGGGATAAATGGGAGGCCAAGGAGGAAAGGGAGATATGCAACCATGTTGACTCAACTTTGGTTTCCTAAGAGTTAGGAATGCACCCAAAAACCTTCTGACACATGAAAAGGAGCCATGTACAAATCACACAATATGGAGGGAAGCAAATGCACCTGAGACAAAAATGCATCCAGACCCAAAAGATTCCAACAGAGCAGAAGAGATGAGGCAAGCTAGAGTGGAATAAAGAAGATTCTGAGAAACCCTCAGAGGAGCGATGAAGAAGTTTGGATAGCAGGTGTAGGGAAGACAGGGAACGAAGAAGGGAGGAGAGGATGAGGCGAATTTGGGAAAATTATTTTGCATGCCTTTAAATAAATAGAAAATCTTAGTTTCAATTCACCATTATACATTTCTCACCAAACTTTAACACCCTTTTTCTCCCTCTGTTATCCAACCATTCCTACCTATTATTTATTTCTATTTAGTTGAAAAATAGGCTCCTGTATCTTAAAATAATAATTGTTTTTAGTTTCTCATAATTAGGGCTTAATTATTTATATCTAGTCACAATTATGTATTTCTTTTTTTTTCACAAAATATTTTTATATTACACTTTCCTGAAAGATTTTGTCAAAAATTAAAGTAATAAAATAAAAGAAACTGACTTAATTTCTTCCATCAGATTTTCTTGCAACTTAGATTTCTCTTTGAAACCCTTCATCAGTTCCATAGCTTTGTTTTCTGTAATGGTTCTATCTAGCCTCTGTACTTCTAAAAGTCTTTTTACTGACTGAAAAGAAAAAATAGAAGCTGTAACAAAGCAGGGCAGTATTTCAGATTCTTATCAAAACCTAGTATGATATAAAAATTAACATCAACAAGAAAATGAAGTAAATTTAATAAGAAGACTTTACTTTTAATATTTGTGGAATTTTACACATGATCAATAGCTGACAAACATGTGACATTAACCAAAAGTGCACTCTGAACTTGTCAATACCTTTTAGCATTACATAAATATCAGTGCTAAGAAAAAGGAATATTATGGTTACTTCGATTTCAAACTCTAATTGCACAACATCTTTCTGAAGAGAATCTCTCTCCTCCTTGAGATCCTGGCACAGTTTCTCTTTCTCTTGCAGCTTTAATGTGAGCAGTTTGGTTTCTTCCTGATGCTCCAATTCCTTGCTTTCCAAAAAACACACCTTCTGCTGAAGTAGTTGCAATTCCTTGGAGTCCTCTGTAATCACAAACTTGCCATGAGAGTAGAAACTTCCTTCAAGACCAGAAATCCTGAAAATTAAGGAGAACCTTTTATAATTACAATCACTGATAAGGCAAATCATTACAACTGTATAGGTCAAACCAGCTTACAGGGGCAACAACGTCTTAACTGTATAGGTCACAACAGTTTACAGGGGCAACAACTTCTTAACTGTAAAAGTCATATCAGCTTACAAGGGCAAAAATTGTTTTAACTACATAAATCACATCAGCTTTGTGGATTTGTGAAATCTTCCACTTACCACAAAGTCACTTGAATAAGACAACATTATGAAATAGATAAATCAGGTACATTTCAAAAATTTCTGCTGGGACATTATGCAACAAAATTTGGGTGATAAGATTATGTTAGTGAGGCCTTGCACTCCTACTGCCTAGAGTTGTTTATTACTACCACAGATAACTAAGTTGCACCATTCTTATTTATTTTTTGAAAGCTGAATTATCAGTGTTAATGTCCAACATTTCAACACACATATAGTTTACCACCAAACAGTATGTAAACATTTAAGGAATAGGGGAAAACTCCATAAAGAGTGTTTGGGCACCTCATGAACTCTCTGATGATCATTGTTTCCAATGTGTGAATGTTGCTTCGTCTCTTCTGGTGCATAATGCGCGTGAACCATTTTTGGACAGAATTGTCACAGGTGATGAAAAATGGATTCTCTATGCGAACATTAAATGTAAAAAACAATGAACCAGTCCTAGACAAAAACCACTTCTGACCCCAAAACTTGGACTCCATCCACAGAAAGTGATGCTTTGCATTTGGTGGGGCATCAAAGGAGTAATTCATTTCAAAATCCTCAATCCACAGCGAACTGTCAATGCAGAGATCAATATTCAGCAACTGGATTGTTTAAATCAAGCCCTTCATCAGAAACACTCTTCACTCATCAATCAGAAAGTCAACTGAAGTCAACATCTCTAAATAAGGCTAATTCATAAACTAGAAAATAATCTGACATTTTTCTTTGCAAAATAAAGTTCAGAATGTTGCAAATTTCTAAAATACAGTAGAGGGGAAAAAATGAGCTGGAAGCTGATTGGAGAGACCAATTAAACTTGCCATGAAATAAGTTAAACATATTGTATGATTCTATCATATAAAGTTGGACTGATCAATCCAAAAAATATAAATTTATTATTTGAAAGGAGTACTCCTTGAAATTTTAATACATAGTGTACTACAGTTGAATTAGTAGTAGTAATGAGCACAGCTATGTAAAGTAACCTTTTAGCAATACATCAGACAGAGAAAAGTTAAAACAGAGTCTGAACAGTTGAGAGGCTGAAATGACAAAAGACAAGATCTATATTTACCTTTCAGACTGGGAAGTAAGATGATTGGTGTAAGTAAAGCCAATGAATGGAAGATTTTCTCCGGTGAATTCTTTTTTATTCCTTAGTCCTACTGTTGAAGGTCTAGACACTTCATGTTCAAACTCATCAAAGTTAGAAGTATCATCTTGACTACTAACATGTGGAACAAATGGTGGAACAGCTGAAAAATATGAAGCTTTTCAATTGAAACTGAAATAATTAATGGAGAGTGTCATGTGGCTTATGAAGAGAAATGTAATGAATCACATTTTCTGATGTCAGAATCACAATCACACTCTGTATTTCTTTTATTTATAGATATTTGATATTTACATTGAACAAGATACTGTTTTTGCTCTAGAATAAGAAAATTGATTAGATTTCATAATATTCTTTAAGTAATGATAGGAATTCTTTTTTATAGAATTTTTTATAAAATATTTCTGCTGATAATCACTTTAACTAATCTAATTTGGCTGTGTCTATTCATAACCACTTTCAGTATTTAAATAAAGTCAGGACTGTTTCTCAAGTAATTCCATTAGCCACTCTATTATTTGATTTCTGAATACTGTCATTTAATTTTGAATACCAAGATCAAACAATTATTATTATTACAGTTGAAAAATTTAAGAAAATTGATTACTTGAGCTTATTAATGAGCAAATGGATCTAATAATTGATCTTTAGGTATGTTTTCTTATAGAGAAGACAGCTGTTACTTCACTTGTAATATTTTGAAATAGATGGCTCTCTTTTCTGTCACCAAATCAGGAAATGAACAGGACTTACATGTCCCTATTCTAGATTGCATATGACCTTGGGTTACATGTGTGAAGTACAGTGGGAACAGTTGGCTTTGTTTGTGTTATTGTTTTTAGTATATAAAGCCAGGTTCTCCCCTGTTAAGCAGATTTTTGTGCAGAATGAGATTTTGAAGATTTAACTTCAGTAAAAGTTTTCAGGTTAACATTCCTTTGTTTTTTTTTTAACTTTAACTTTCAGTTTACTTTATCTTACAGGAGTTGTTCTTATTTTAACATTTTAACTTTATTTTTTTTTTAGTTTATAGGTGGGGGGCACATTGAACTGGTAAGAGATCTGATGATGTTTTTGTTAAATAAAGATTGTTGCTTCATACAACCTGTGTATAGCTTCTTTTTTATTTTTTATCAACAAACTCAGTCAAAGTTCAGAGAGAAACACACAGACTTATACTCTGTGACAACACTTAACAAGACAATGATGTCTCTTTTACTTATTGCCATTAGAAAACAATGGAATATGATCAACTTAAGGATTCAGAACCATCCAGAAATAGACCTGTAACAAGTCATAATCCAACTAGGGTAAGCAGTGCACTGTTCTGTAACAGGTGAGAATCAGTAATCACAAAGTCTAGTGGAAAGAAGCTGTCAACATGTCCCATGTAACAGTACACAATGTAATCAGGTACACAACTTGCCAGATGAAGTGCCTATTTATTTCTGTGTGATTAGACTGTTGAAATGGGTGCTGACAAGCTGTCGTTCTATATGCTAGATATTTTATGGAATGCCTGCAGGGAACAGTGGTGTGCTTTTAACATGACAGTCTTACGACAGAGACTTCTACAATAGAAAGTACACTACAGGGCTATTGTCAAGATGCCGGGCCATCAGACAGAGCATGACTGGACATGATGATATGAACTGTAAGGATGTGGTGAAGCTCCAAAATCACTTTAATATAACATACTCAACCTCTGTATTTATTGCATAAACTCTCCACAGTTTCTATTTTCTTTATCTGTAATTAAGCTGTATTTTTTCTTAAATTTCAGATGAACTACTGAAAGCAGATCTGAAAAGCAATACTATTTAATTTCTTATTTATAAATACACCCACAGTATTAATAATACTGATATCCCCCATTTAGCATGTTTTCATATTAGGAAACTTGTTTGATTACAAATTTCTGATTTAGTGTGGTTTTGAAATAGAAAATGGTATTCTCCAATGCAGCTGTGCATGTGTGAGATGTGCCATATGTTCAGATAATCTCATGTTTACCTTGTGGTAGCATCATTCTGTGCAGCGGTATGCTCTTATTATAAGTTTTTTTTTAAAGTTTCATATACTTCTTTAATATTTGAGTATCTAATTAATACTTTAAAACATGTTTAAAAGTTTCTACGTCAATAATAATTTTAGTCATGAATGCATCCCCACTTATTACATATATTCCTGTAGAAAACTGATTTTCATTTAGCATGGCATTTTTCAAGAATGCATTAAACTTGTTAAATGGGGGATGCTGGTAATGATGTACTGTTATGTTATATGATGCAATTTAATAAAAGCAATCAGAAACAAAATGTATATTTTCAGTGCAGTGAAATATCTTAAAAGACACTGAATTACCAAAAGACTTCACAGAAAAGTAAATCACATGACATGTTAGTAACAGGTATATTTCTCAAAGTATTTAAAATATTATGCTTGTTCACTGTTCCCATGGTGAAATGAAGTTTTAACAGAAATTAACGAAAAAAAGGTTCTAATGTAACTTCCAATTTAAAAATATTATCAGACAGTATATCTATATTACTAGGAAACAAACCAACAAACTATAAAGGATACAATATGACAATAAATAATGCAACATCAAAATAATAACCCTTTTCCACAGAAAACAATTATTAAAAAAAGGAGTGCATGGTATTTGTAACTGGTTGGATATCTACTTTTCTATGTACAAAAAACATGATTCTTGAATACGAATACACAAAGACTGGGTATTTTACACAAATGAATGCTCATCTGCAGCCATCAGTAACTTCATGCTTTGATTTTGTGAATTTTTTCAAGAAAGCTTATTTCATTTTCAAAACACATCATCCCAATTAGAAATTAAAATTATCTACATGCATATCATAAAACTCATTTTCATATTAGAATATCAAAACTTAACCTTACAATGATTTAAAGGAAATTTATCAATCAAATTAAAATTATCTGTTATATAAATTTAGTAAAATTCTAAACCATAGTTTTCACAAAAAAACTTATTTTTCAAATAGACACAAATAATGTAAACATTCTATCATCACAAATTGAAGGATTAAAACTTTCTTTTAGGCCTAAATTATAATTTTATTTGAAAACAAAAGTACAGCTTATTTACTAATACTTACTTTGAAACATGTTATTCCAGTCTACATCAACAAAAAATTCATGTTCATAAATCTGGTTGTATCCTAAACGCAAAGACGCTTCCTGTAAAAGCTTTTTTATTAGGTCTATAGCTTGAGCAGAAATTTCTGGTTCATCAGGAAAAGTGAGAGATTTCTGAAATCAAATCGTATAGTAATTATAAACATTTTTATTTTTAAAAACATTAAGATTTTATAAATGCTGATAATCTTAATGTGCATACACATTAGGCTATCAGCTAAGTAAGTGTTTACTATGGTTTAGTTATCAATAATTATAATTACTTATAGGCAAATCACTGATGTTATTAAGTTTATCTAATAACTGAAAGAACTATTTTTGGGTTGTTTTATTCTTACTTTCTCACAAATTGAAAGTTTCAAAACTATGATAACAAGTAAGGGATATGAGTTGTTGAAACTTTATCACTAATGATGATACCAGCTGACATTAAAACGTTTGTTTTTATCACTCTGTGTATCAAGCAAAATTTATCCTACCAGAACAGAAACATACAGTCCTTCTTAGCCCTGGAGGGCTTCACTTCTTGATTTCCACACCTTGGGCAGAATGAAATTCCATGACCAACACATATTACTTTCTGACCATTATCTATGTTTGTAATGTATCACTGAACTATTACCTATAATAATATGTCAAACTGTACTGTTTAATAAAGAAGAGACAGCATGTATGTTAAGAATCACAGTTTGTTTAATTGTCATCTTTCTCGAATTATTGATACCTTATCAGAGCATATATAACAAAGGCACTTTATCCATTTGTTTATGATAGTGCATATTGATCACATTTCTAGATATAAATCACAGAAATGTTATTAAAGCATAAACAACACAATATATTCTAACATTTGCATTATCACATTTTGACTTTAAATACTCAGAAAGAACATGTTTATTGTTGTAAAATGAAATAATCTATAACAAGTACATTTCTCACATGTCAAATATATATTACATCAATATTTTCTGATGTGCGTACATGTACAAAACTTTTAGATACTAACCATACACTTCATTAAAATCATATTTCCGATTTCCTTAAAACAAATGCATAGGTTAATGAAATCATCCACTGATTCAGAACACATAGTATTATTTTTGCACATCTTCATACTGTGAGTATGAAATTCTTCTATATTAAACACGTTGCAATCTTTGAGTTAATACGATTAAGTTCTAAATTCTAATTATACGTACACGGAATGAGACCACTGATAAAGCATATGCAATGTTTATAGTTCTATTATAATCCTACATAATTACAATGTAGAATCATGCTTGTAGAGGCTACTGTAATTGGCACAGTCACAAATGTTATTGTATGTTTGTGACTGAAAGTGATAATGCATTACACTATTACACCAAGAAAGTGTCAAGTTTTTCATTTTATTCTTACATAATTTGCTTATTACAGTAAATAAAAGCTACTTCTAAGTGAAACTTGTGCTAAAACTACTCACATTGTTTTGTTATTCTGGTATAATCCTTGGATTTAGACACAATGACAAACACTGTACTTGACTACACTAGCTTTATACAATCTCCATAATAATTAATATCTCCATCTCAAGAGCATATCATGGTCTGAAAGCCCATAGTTTGAAAACAATACCAAAACTATTAACCCAATTATGTTAAGCTGCACATGCTCATCTTTACCTTCAGTTTTTATTCATTCCTGTGCCTAGCATCTTATTTGTTGCTAATATGTTACTCAATATCCTATGCATTAATTTACAGATTATTAGGTAAACATGATGCATTCAGTTATTCACTGGCACAAGTTCAACTATTTCCACAAAGATTCATGGATAACAAATAGTGTCATAACCTTGTAAACCCATACATATGCCACATTATTGGTTAGTGGCAATGAAATATCATATATTCAAATATTTCTTAATATGCTGTTCCTAGCTCAAATTTTTGTAGATTTTTAAGCCTAACTACCATATAACATTCATCCTTTCAATTTGTGAACATTTAGAACTATTATTACATTTTTTCAAAACCATTGTCTGATTATTATCACACTTACTCATCATTGGAATGAAATGACTAGATTATAAAATGATAATGAGCAACTTACTCAAAAGGCATTCATAAAGTATCACTCACCTTTTTTAATATGCAGGATTTCAGAAAAAGTGAAAAACCTTTGTTGGTTAATTTATACTAATCTATTTGATTAGTCTTTGAAAACATAATGTATATATTAAATATATAACTTTGAAAGGATCTATTTTACTTTTCACTTAACTAACATAACAATGAATTGTCTTTAAATTTGAAATTTTTATTTTCCTTTTTCCTTGTTGCTAAGCTGTATCCTAAGCTGATAATTTTCATTATAATATAAATTTGAAAATTTACCAATAACTTGTAATTATGATTTTAATCCGACATAGCTTCAACTGCTCCCTACAATTTTGTAAATAGCACAGTAAATAATTTTATCATGACTATTGACCATTACAATATGAACAAGAACATGTCTATAGTTTGGCTGCACAAATTGAAAGAAAAAAAAAAAACGATAAATCTTTCAAATACAGCTGACAATTATACAATGTAAGAAATATAAAATCAAGGTTTCTGAGATACTTGTTTTATTGAATTTTTGCACAAAGCTACTCAAAGGCTAGCTTCACAAACCAACCCTAATTTAAAAGTGACTAGAAAGAAGCTAGTTAACACCCAACTAACTCTTGGGCTACTCTTTACCAACAAACAGTAGGAATGACTGTCACATTATAATATCCACACACCTTAAAAGGCAAGATTGTTCAGTAACTGATTTTAATCCTGTGGCCTGCAGGATGTAAGTCAAACTCCCTAACCACTAGGCCCTTACGGGGTATGCTCCTCCACAAGTGAGTTTCTGTAACTGTATCCTAAGTACAAATAATTTAATTTTTCTTCTTGCTTGGTCTGAAGCAGAAAAATATGTTTAGTATATATAGACAGCCCTTTAACGAATGTCAAAAATATTGCAGGAGAAGTTAGAAAAGAGCTCATGGTTTAGGAGAAAACACATTTCTAAATGATCTGTGGTGTCAGTGAATAATAGGATTAATAGACTTGTAAACATTTATAAGGTTAAAGCACTTGATAATCTCTGTTGAAAACAAATGTCTAAAACTATGAAAATGGTGAATATCAAAACTTGTTTTTACATACAAATACCAGTTCAAAATATGATGTTTAAATAAAAATGTAAATGTATTCAATTTCAAACAAAACTAAAGAAATATGCTTCATTACAGTAAACAGTAATTGGCCTTAGCTATAGGATCTTCTACATGAGAACATTTTTACTTTTAGTGTGTTACTTCAATTAAATGAAACAAACATAGAAGTTATGTAAGAATATACTGATATTCTATTCCTTCACTTCAAGAATGATTCTTTTTTAGCCATTTTTTCAAAATAAAACAACTGATAATACAAAACCAGTTAAACCAGTTGTGAAGCACAGTATAGAAAGTGCTATGGAAAGGATGAAAAAAAAAAGAAGAAAGAAAACTTCAAAAACAACAGAACAGGTTTGTTTGTTTGGAGGGGGGCAACAGAATAGGAAAAAACACCTAAAGAACTTATAAAGACAACAACAACAACAGACTGTTGATAAATCTATGTAGTCTCAATTCAAAAACAAAATTTCAATTCAGTTTTGAAAATATTCGTACAACGAATAATCAAATTGTAGCATGCCAATAAATCATTCATGTTCTCACAAATTATACTAAATTGATGAAAAAAATAAAAATGGTACTTCAGTGTCAGGACTGGTCATTCTTCACTGACTTAGATTATTATGATTTCAAAGCTGGAGAGCACATTTCATTTCAGACTTAGTTTACCTAAAGATATATATTTAGTCTAAAATAATCCTTCATAGGTCCTCAGGCTACAGAATTCTTCCAAACTATCAAAAGACTGAAATAAGATCCTGATGTAATTCTTTTCATGATCTTAATCTATAAATGAATCTTGCATTGAAGAATATGTTGAAAAGTTGGATCTAATTAAGAGTGGAAGGGATCACATCCACATACCTATAGACAAATAAGATGCCCAATGTAACATAATATTAAAGGACAACAAGGGACTGTTTGGTCCATCTATGCCATCCTATCCACTAAATTGAACAAAACAAAACAAAAAAAAACTCAAAGCCAACCTTTATCATTCAAATACTTATCAAGTTTTCCCTTAAACTCCCTTAATTTAACTGCAGCTACCATAACTGAAAGCAACCTGTTCCAAAGGGCAACCACCCTGTTAGAAAAATACAGCTGTCTTAGCTGAAGATGACTCCTACCCTGCAAAAATATATATTTATGTCCCCTAGTCTTACCATTCTTACCAAAGAAGATGATGGATCAACACTATCAATTCTCTTAACAATCTTAAAAACCACAATCAGATTTTCCCTAACTTCTTTTTGCAAGAGAAAACAAGTTAATCTTAACCTTTCCTCATATGACAACCTTTCCATCCCAGATATCATTCTAGCAGCCCTCCTCTGAACCACTTCCAACAGTTTTATGTCCTTTCTAAGGTAAGGAACCCAAGACTGAACACAGTACTATATATGTGGCCTACCCAATAACTTCTACAATGACATTATAACATCTTTAGACTAGTTTTCAATATTTCTCTACATACAACCTAAAATCCTATTTGTCCTGCCACCAACTGCAGCACATTACTTGGGTATCTTAAGACTGTTGAAACAGAACACTAAGATCTTTTTCTTCTATAATGCTGGTACGGTTATTCCCATCAACATTATGCTCATAATTCTAATTGTGATAACCCACATGCATTACCTTGCATTTATTGTAATTAAAGTCATCTGCCATTTATTTGACTAACTCACCAAACAATCCAAATCCTTTTGTACAGCAGCAGCATCTTTCTCATAACCAGCAACACCAAAAATGTTAAAGACATTAGCAAAGATAAATAATCTATTGACTATTCCTTTATCTACATCATTGATGTAAATCATAAAGAGCCAAGGTCCTAACACTAGGCCTTGAGGTACACCACTTGTGACATTAATCGAGTTTGATTGAACTCCATTTATAACAACCCTCTGTTTTCTTCCATTTTACTAGTTTTTATATCCAGTGAGCCAACCTATCCCCCACACCTACAGAAATAACTTTTTTAACAAGCCTTTTATGTGGCACTTTATCTACATAAGCAGTAACCTCTTCAAAGAACATAAAATGATTAGTAAGGCAAGATTTTTTCCATGCTGACTATCCAACAAAATTTTAAATTCTGTTAAATGACTTTGAAAACATCTTTTATAAGAGTTTAAAACCCTTTTCCGACCAATTATGTAAGACTAATAAATCTATAATTACTGGAACAATTTTTATCACCTCCCTTGAAAAGAGCAGTAACATTAGCCAACTTCCAGTCTTATGGCATCTGTCCACTAATCAATAATTTGGAAAAAATAATAGCAAGTGGCTCATATATCCAATCCTTAACCTCTTTCAAAACCTTTAGGTAAATATTATCTTTAAACTTCCCAATTTTCTCTTAACAAGTTCAGAATTAACTTGATCCTCTTGTTCAATCTTATTTCCATCTAGCAACTGTTCATAGTGAGGAATGTTGCTTAAATCCTTATTAGTAAAAACTGAAAAAAAAGTAAAATTTAATAACAGAGCCATCCCATAATCATCAGATATTAGTCTTCCTGCATCATCCCTCAAAGTCTCTGCTCCCACCCTAACATTGTGCTTACCCTTGATGTATTCAAAATAAATCCTTACCATTTATTCTTATACTTTCAGCCAACCTCTTTTCATATACTTTTGTGATTTCCTAATTGTTTATATGACCAACTCTCTCAATCTTCTAAAATCCTCCAAATCTCCCATCATCGAAGTCAATTTAAACTTCTTATACTTGTAATATTTTTTCTTAATTTTATCCTTTTTATCCTATATGAGCCAATCTGTTCTTTTTCTTGCAGCCACCTTTTTTTTTGTTGTTGTTCTGGTTGAGCTGCTAAGGAGCACTTAAATTTCAAATACTTTCATACTTCAGTAGTGTCATTTATGATGTCATTTAAAAGATTTCAGTTGTGCTACTGATAACAGGTTTCTTCCTATGATTTAGTGTTAATGAAAAACAACATTATACTAATGTCAGAAACCATTCACGAAAGTTCACTGATTTCTCATGCTTTTCATACAATAATTGTTAACATAAAAAAAAAAGCATTCAGGATTTCCTAGTTATGATAAAAGTATTTATGGTGTTTAAAATTTCATGATTTTGCTCTTTTACAGTAATAAGTACTTAATACTTCCATAAGCAGTGTGCTACTATATGTGTATATGAACCCGTATATAATAATTTCGAAACTTTATCAACAGCAGCAATAAAAACCTTTAATGTGACAAAAGCCATTAATCCATAAATGTAAAATACTTATCCTCTTGTTTTCATATTTATTCTTTAGTTTCAAACCTTTTTAATGAGGGAATGGAACAAAGAAAAGGAAAATGATTCTACTTCAAAAATAAATCAACAAATAGAATAACAGTCATTGAATTTAACTTTATTTTACTTAAAAGAACATTTAGCACTTTAAACTAGCACTGAAGGTTTATTGTGGTTCCAATTGACCAATATATGTACAACAACATATTGTTTACATAAAATGGTTAAGCAAAAAAGTATGTTCAAGTGTCATTCCTTACAACTGAAAAATATAAATATATTAATACTGCTTGGATAAAAAAAGGACTGTAGTTATTATTATTTCATTCAGCCAAAGTGCTCACTGCACTTGTACTGCAGAATTATTTTATTACTATACTACAGGTTTATATGAAGTGAAAGACTTAGAAAACTTCATAAGTTATTCTAGTCACAGTCAAGCTATGCCATACACACAGCCTTCATTTTCCATATTCTTAAAACACTTTCAATTGATTTTATTCCAGCCATAACATTGTTTAGTTACTGGCCATTCAAAATTCATTAATATTCAGATATATTTGTTTCATATAAGTCTTTTGAAAAAATGTGATGAAATGATTTTTATTTGACAATGACAATTTTTTTCCACTACATTGTCAAAGACAGTAGCAAAAATTTACATTTCAAGGTCAATATTGCTATTTACCCCTAAAAATACAGTCACAACAAATACTCATTATGTTAGTGAAACAGAGATGATCTGATACAACACACAGCCTATGATAGAAACTATAACTTCTACAGCATCTAAATTGTATTATAATTGCATTAGGATATTTATTTGACATTAGTTAAAATATGCACCTGATCACTTGTTATTGGAATTAAAACTTACATCTCAGCATTAAATAATTAAGAATAAAATACTCGTACAACTTAATCATTTAATCACAAAATGGGAAAAGGCTTTATTTAAGGATTAAAGAATAAAAAAGAAAAACAATACCGACAAAAAAAAGCAAAACTATTTATCCCATATTTTGTTCATGAACACCGCAACACACTGGTAAGTTACATTCCCCTATAATCTGTACCTTATGCATTTTGATGACACAAACTTTCTTAAAAAACAAAGTTTCGAAATTTTGATAGTTTTTAGAACACCAACACACATCCTAAAAAATTACCATAACAGTAACCAAATCTTTAAAAGCTTTTTCTATTTATTCCATTTTTTCAAGTCTATTTTATACCTTATTGTAATAATAAAAGAAAGAAGTCTTAATTTACTTTATTATCAAACTTATGGCCATCTATGTTATGCCCTCTTAAAAGCGAACACTGTTTTGAACATACATACATACCTTAAAGTTCATAATATTGCTGTAAGTCACAACCACCTTATCATCTGTAAATGGAGTGGTACCAAAAAGCATCTCATATGCAACAATTCCAAGTGACCACCAGTCACACTCAGTCCCATAAACAGTGTTACCAGAAGGTCCACCATTCATAGCTAACAATACTTCTGGAGCAATATAATCTGGAGTTCCAACTGGCATTCTACTTGTAACCTGAAAGAAACTAATGAACGTTAATTTAATACACTAAAATACAGAGAAGCAACATGAAATAAAAAATTACAATTCATACAAATTTAAAGAAACTGGAAAAGTAAACAATTAACGTTGCTAAAATTTGTCATTAAAATCACTTAAATTGCAGATGTTTCTTTTTCCACATCCTTACTAATTTGTACATTTTGAATCCTAATCCATAAACACGTAATATTACTATTTCTGATTTATATTTTGTCTCCTGAAAATCACTGCTTCAGAATTTGTCAGTTGGGCTGGGTGATAGGAGACAAAAGATTCTCTGAATTTCTATACACATATGAAGCATATAATCTAAAAGTTGCAGTTTAAACACAGAAAGCTGACAAAGTATTAGAAACTAATAAGTCTAATATTTGTGATAAAAACAACTTAAAGTGCAGATTTTTCCCCCACATATTCCACATAACTTGTCCATTTCAATATCATTTTGATTTTCTGATTTTTGAGTCCAAAACTGAAAAGTTAAGAGGAACGTAGAAAAAAACATCTGAAGTTTATGTGATTTGATCACAAATTTGAGGTTTATTAGCTTTTAATGCTTTGTCACCTTTTAGAGTTTAAAGGTGAAGGTATTAAGAAAAGAAACTAGAATGTGAAAAAAAAAGGTAATATTTTGAGATTTTTAAATTAGTTGATACTGACAAATGACTATCAGGAACATGTAGAATAGGTTTGTCTGATCATGAAAAATATAAATAAGCATCCTAGTATTATTTTATATTAACTTTGAAATTTTAATCATTTAATCTAAAACTAAACAACATTAATTCATGATGTATTTTGAAATATAAACAGAAATGTGTTTTGACAGAACACAAAAAATCTCCATTTTTTGTTGTTAATAGAAATTAAAGCAGTTATTGTTTCACTTTTGATGAACTATAATGTAAATATTACAAATACTAAAATGTGAGCTGTTTCTTTATTGATGCAAAAACAACACACACATTATGCATCAATAAAGAAAGGAAACAAATATTTCTCATGATTATTTTCTTATTGTGTCTTCCAGGTAAATGTCCTAAGTACAAAAAAGCTTACTGTAATAAATATGTCTCATTATTATTATTATTTTTTAATGTGTTTTCCATTAGATGTCTTAAGTAATGAAACTTTCAAAATGGCTTACTGTATTGTGCTCATTGAGCTTAGCAGCAGAACCAAAATCAGCTAGTTTGATGTGACCTGTCCGATCTATCAAGATGTTATCAGGTTTTATGTCTCTATCATGCAAAATGTGAGAAGAAATCTTGTCATAAAAATGAAAAAAATATTCAAATGTATATAACTTTGTAAAGTTAATTTCATTCACTAATAAAGCACTAACTAAAATACAAGACTTTTTCAGAAAAAATGAAATTATATTACATGCAAAACAATCACATGAAATTACAGCAAAAACAGTTATACATTTGGTTTTCAACAGTAAGTAAGACTAATTTTTAAACACTCCATGAGCTTTTCACAGTAATTTGGTAAAAGGTAAGTGTGATATCATGAATCCAAAAGTTTACACACCTACTTCAATCTGCACAGAAAGTCTTTGAGAGAATGATGCATATTGGAGAAAGATTATTCATTTCAACTGACTATCGCAATCATTATATAATAAGCTTTATGGAGCCTAGCATTACCATGCTGCAAAAGAACATAATCTAGAGACAGACATATTATTCATTGGTCATACTTTACTAACATCAAAGGAACTCCTATTTCTTTCTGAACAACATAACATAATGTTTTGGAATCATAGGACCTACTGGTCCATCTCGGCTGTTTCATCCTCTAAACTAAACAAAATATATTAATAAATTTTTTTTTTTTAAATCTTAAAGCCAGCCCTTATCATTCATATGCTTATTAAGCTTTCTCTTAAGCTCACTTAAATTTACTGCTTCCACAACATCTGAAGGCCAACCACCGTTAGAAAAATAAAACTGTCTTAGCTGAAGATGACTCCTACCTTGCCAAAATTTATATTTGTGTCCTCCAGTCCTACCATTCTCACTGTTAAATA